AATTCTGCTATAGAATTTGTTAAAAAACAAAAACAAAAATAAAAATTCACAAAATGGGGTCTTACAAGGTCAAGAAAAGGTCTTACAAGGTCAAGAAGACTTTAAAAGTAGAAACAAATTAAGAAAAGAAAGAAATTAAAAACAAAGTAAAAATGAAGAAGAAGAGGATAGTTGAAAAAGCTCAGGTAGGATAGCACCAAATTAAGATGAAGATGAAGATGAAGTAGTCGTTGCCTCCATTACAAACCAATTACTCTTATTGTAATCTTCCATGGAGTCTTCACCTTCACCTTCGCCCTTCTGCATGATGGTCTTGGCTTCAACATCACCTGCATGGACAACATCATAATTAATATTAAACTTTACATAAATTATTGTACTAAAATTCCAATTCAGACATATATATCTTATTCATACCTTGAAGAAACTTGTGTCTTGATTTCATCTGTATGATCTCTTTCTCTCTCTCTCTCTCTCTCTCTCTCAGTGCAGAGTTGTGTGGGAGAGAGAAAAGAGAAAGAATAATAAGAAGAGAAGAAAGTAAGTGTGATGTAAGGGAAAAGTGTGCAGGGAAGGTACATTATAAAGAGGGAGTTTGATGGAGATTTTGTACACCCAACTGGGCTTTCATGGACCTATCATTGTCAGGTCTAATAGGCCCATGAAGAATGTAAAAAGGCCCGCCCGGCCGACCAAGGGCAAGGGACCGGCAGCACTTAATTTATTAAAGCAAAGTCTTATAAGGAGGTGAAAAAGATATTTATGAAGGTAGGTAAATGATAATTTTCAAACTATAGGAGTATAAGAAATTACTGATATAAAACAATTTACCCCTTGAGGTTTGATCTAATTACAAATATCCCCTTAATGTTTTTGAAATAACAAAAATCCCCTTAATCCTTCCAATCTTTTGAGCACAATACTATACTTATAACCCAATCTCGACGTGAAAACTCGCAATTGATTTTTGATGAATTTTTTTGCATAACCAATTGCGAGCTGTCACGTCAGGATTGTGAGATTGAGGTGCGAGTCAATCTTTATTGATCTTTTTGTCCAAGTGGCAGCTTTTGGTCCATCAAAATTGATGATATGCTTATGAATCACATAATTTATAATTTTCAAATAACTAAGATGTTTTATACTTCAAAGGGCAATACTGGGCTTACAACACAATTTCACAAACTTTCTCTCACAACCTCGATGTGGTAGCTATCAATTGGTCAACTCGCAATGAGCTCACTTACCCAATTGTAAGCTGACCAATTGCGAGTTATCACGTCGGGATTATGAGAAAAAAGTTTGTAAAATTGTGTTGTTAGCCAATCTTTATTGTATTTAAAAATACTAATTTTGTACATAAAAACGAAGATTGTATGCATATAAACTTCCAAACCCTAAAAGTTAAACATTAAATACTAATTTTATTAGCCGAATAAAGGTTGGTAACAGTTAAGGAGCAAGGCATAATCTTGTATTGTACAAGGATTTCTTCGCAAGACTTGCAAGTAAATACAAAGCCAGCTAATTCATGATTAGAATTAATTAATTAAAATTTTAATTTGCACAATGAGCTAAATGCTGAATGCTAAATCCAATTCTTGACTCATTAGAAAATGGATTGTATTGTATTAATTGACCTTATTGAAAGCTAGAGTCGGTCCAATTAATATTATTTTCTATAATGTATAGAGCACTAGAATGGGGAAATGGGATTTCTAGGTAATTGCAATACAATGCTTAAATTAAGTGGATTTGAATTCTCCTTTGTTAAGGCCATTGCCATCACAGTCTCCTAAGATAATGGTCAAAATATTGAGAAAAATAATCTCACCTTCCCCAACTCCTTGGCCTGCGTTCTTTGTAATATTCTACTACAACTTTGTATTAATTTAACATGCTTTGACTCCTCTCCTCTCCAGAACCCACCACCAACATAGATCCTCACGAGGGTTCATGAACAACACAACACAAATCTCTCTGTTTGTTCATGAATCATTGATAAAATTTAGACAAAAACCTGAAAGGGTGTTGAATGATTGGGTAAAGTTAAGTTTGTGTCAAACAAAATTGAGCACACAATTGCAGATTTAGCAAATACATGAAGCAGCTGGGTTAGGTGCAGTGCAGGCGTGTAAGAAGGGTTGACCTGTTCTTGAATGAGTCCCAGTAATGTGTTAAGAGAGTGATGATTGATGAAAATAATACAGCTAGGTTTCCATTATTCTCTGAAACTTCACTGAACACAAGTGACCAAATAATACGCCATTACTATTCATTCACCCCTCGTTTTATCTACGAGGGTCACTGTTTTCTGCCCCTTTTATTCCCATCTCATGCCCATACTGTACATTTGGGAATAATTATAATATCACATTTATATATATATTACACATGACTATGCATTATATATATACATATAGGACCACGACATGGGGAATATCAAAATATAAGTTAGTAAAATAATGTTATTTAGTGGATTCTTTTTATATATAGTAGAAATTCGGTTTATTAATTAATATGAATGAATATTCTTTTATGTACCACCTTTGTGTAGTTCAAGTGGTAGGACGAGTCTTGAGATGTATGGTTAAAGTGTATGGTCTCGGGTTCGAATCTTTTTGGTTTTCAAGATTTAAGAATGTGATTATAACGGTGAGATGCTATGCTAGTCACTTACAGAGATTAGATGAAGTGCACACAAATTGTCGATGGATATATTGACTGCATAGAACGTTTAATGATTTAGCTAACAAGAGAACAAGGATTAACCACACAAAAAACGAAGGCAAATCGTTACTCATTTACAATACTAAAAGAGTTACTGAGAGTAATATTGAATAGCAAGATGGACTGTCCCCATGATCACCTACCTATCTCTCAAGATTTAAGTAGGTGATCATATCGGTGGGATATTGTACTATAGTTGAGATGTGCACAAATTTATCTGGACACTTTACGATAACCAATGCTTTAGATTGGCTATTGTATACTCTATATTATCATTCCTAAATTGATAAGCTATGTGTGATCATTTACACTAAAACAGCATAAAACGTTTCGTAATTTAGCTAAGAAGAGAACAAGGATTAACCACACAAAAAACGAAGGCAAATCGTAACTCATTTACAGTATTGAAAAAGTTACTGAGAATAACATTCATCAATTTTCAAGAAAACGTCTCTACTAAAATGCTATTGAATCGCAACAAGATGGGTTGTCCACAACCCATGATAGAGCAAATTGTTTGGCCTCTAAATAGAAGAAAAATTTGACGTGACTTAAAATATGAACCATTTTTGGTTACAAGGAATCCCTTCAATACTAGCAGACAACCACTAGTTGAAGATGATAAAAAACATGGAGCCACTATCCATGAGACAGACTTAGAATGTTAAATTTGGTCATAACCATAACAGGAAACCAATAATGCATAAAGTCAGAATAGAATAATTTAACCATATTGTAAATTCATTAACGTAAAAACTTGGTATCTCGAAACCCCTTTCGATGTCTTTCCATTCATTATCAACGTGTCCAAAGTTGGAGGCGTTTTGGTGTGTTGAAGAGAGGCCCATTTGGGCCTAGAAACATACAAAACCTGCAAAGATTCTCGCTGGGAGCAAAATTTGAATTCTGGTTTCATGGTCCAACTACAATCTCCAGGTAAAATGGCGACAACCCATTAATTTTTTACCATTTTGTTAGTGGATTTTTTTTTTTTTTTTTTTTTTTAAATTTATGACCGAAGTGTCTGAGCCAGTTTAGGCACACTTTAATTAATTTTTCGAGACCCTAAAACTACCGACTATGTAACAACGGTTTCGATTCTGGTTCTGGATACCCTGTAAAATTACAATGACCCTCCAAAAGTTTTTAAAATGGCAAAAAAACTCTTAAAAACTTACAAATACCCCCCCACCTGGAACTTGTTAACAAAAATAAAATTACAAATTACAAACTCCATTACTTTGTAAAGATAGATTCTTAAAAGTCAAATCAACTTACTTTAAATGTTATGAAATATAAATATATATTTTATTAACCCTCTACTCTTTAATTTTATTTTATATTAGTCTCGGTTCCCGGTTTTGGTTTCTAACTATGAGAACCAGAACCGAAATTGCACAGTAACGATTCCAAAAATTTGAAACCGGAACCTCTCTGTTGATAGCCGGTTCCAGGTAGGAACCAGAACCAAACTCCGGGTACCCGCCGGTTTCAATTCCAATCGGTTCTTTTGAATACCCCTAGCTATCACTATTAGCAATCAAGGAGGGATTTGATCTTAGGACCTCTTAATAATACACTTAAGAGTCTCTATCAAACCATTCAGCTATTTAGAGGTAGTTAATTTTGTTAGTAGTAGGAAATGTTGACCCTATATGTTTTTACCTTTTTGCCCTAAACCCTAAACATGAAGAAGAATAAAAAAATAAATTATAAAAGGCCCACAATCTCTCATTTGCAGATTGATTGTGACTTGTCATTGTAATTAGGGCTACCTTGCCTTCTCCTTTCATATTATATACATCCTTTGTGGTAGAACAAACAATGCCATTTGCCTTTTGAAGTAATTCATGATTGGGCTGGACCACCAAATACATTTGTTCTTGGACCACAAGATCATGTCCAACTAAGAATTATTACAACTTTAGAATAATGTTTGATATTTAAGCCATACTCTAAAAATATTTTAAATTAAAATCATATTATAAAATTTTCATGTAATTATGAAAAAATATATATTTAAATTCTAAATAATCTTCTCCTTTAACCGTTTGTGATGTACCCAACAATGACTCGGCCCATTAGGCCCATTGCACAGACCCGTACACTTCACGTTTACTGTGAGTGTGAGTGACAATTAGATTGTTTGTCTGTGACTGTGAAGATCAATTTCTATCAACCACGTGGCGAGTTTGTGAGTTACAAACTCGCCACGTCACTATTCGAAACGCGACTCACTCATGTCATGAGGATTGATTTAATTTTAAAATTTACCGGTTAAGAGCTGAGAAACTTTTCGGCTTTTTTCGTCCTTTGAGTGGATGAAAATTGGATGAAATGAATTTGATAACACTCTTTGTGTCGGCGACGAAACTCGCTGGAGTTTTAGTGACTGCTACAGTAGCAGCTAATGCCTTCTCGTTTTCTCGTTACCGGAAAAAGTATCTCCAGCGGTTTCGCTCTCCGATTGACGAGTCTACTGATATTCTGGCGTCCTTCAATAGTGAAGGTTAGTGACTAATCTTTTAATTTATAATTAACTTCATAATTGTTGATAAGATTAAGCAACCAGAAGAAGCTTAAACTTAGTAATGTAGAATTGCGGATATTTTATTACTTGAGAAATGTTTTAGTGTATTCTTATGACGTTGTTAGGTGCGTTGCTTGCTTGTGATATCTCTAATCTTTTGTTTATATGGTAGAAGATATGTTGCTAAATCTAATGATTTACGTAGAACAAAACAGAACGATACCATTTTTGTACATTTACCATGTTGAGAAGACTATTTCAGGGCCCTTTTGATTTACAGTTTTTGCATACGATCTTTAAATTAGCTAAAATGAGAATAAGATAAGCACTAAACAGTTAAAATAGTATTATACTTACTAACTATCAATATAAACTTATGTGGGATGATGTGATTGGAGCAATAAAATTAATAATGAATTACTTAAATTAGAAGTAAATATGGGAATGATGCATTAGTGGTGTTTCAGTCTGTATAAATTAGTTTGTATCTGGTTAATGTGTACTAAAAAACATTGTCCTTAAATTACTTGTGTATGGATAATGTACTTGGTGTCGCACAGTAGAAAAGTGGGAAATGGAGGCGTAATTTTTATATAACAATTCTGCTGGCACCTGGCTGGTGGGAAATTGAGACTGTTCTGTGTTTGTGAATTGACGAAGCGCTGGGGCTGTCAAGTTATCGTAAGTGGTGTTGTGTTCTATGGTTCTCAGGTGAAGGGGAAGATGAGTTCTTCTTTGGGTTGGCAACTGCACCAGCTCATGTTGAAGACAGGCTTAATGATGCCTGGCTCCAGTTTGCAGCAGACGAACCTAGCGATGCATCAGATCAGCAGGGCCTGCAACCTGCAGATGCCATAATGGGTTCTGGTGAGGGTGATGGTGGGTCTCAGCAAGCTCCAATGTCAGGTACAGCAGTTAATCAGACGGTGAAGAAAAAGAAGTCTCTCAAGATAGCCATGGAAGCTATGATTAGAGGGTTTGAGAAGTATGTAGAAGTAGAAGAAGAAGTAACTGCACCGAAAGAAGAATTGCATCATAAAGTTGCTGCATGGCACAATGTTCCACACCCGTAAGCAATGATATGATGTGATATGATGTTTTAAAATTTTAAAGTTGAGTGCATGACAAGAAATTTTACTTTGGTCTAGCCCCAGCATCATTATCTATAATCATTGCATTGATAAAAGTTGTACTTTTATATTCTTAATTTGATAAATGGATTGCTTGAATTGGTTCCAGCGAGGAGAGGCTACGATTTTGGTCTGATCCTGATACAGAACTGAAGCTGGCCAAAGATACTGGTATATCTGTGTTCCGTATGGGAATAGATTGGGCAAGGATCATGCCTGAGGAGCCAGTCAATGGCCTTAAGGAAACTGTAAGTCTGATGTTAATTACTCATTTATTCTAAATGCATTTGATATATTCTGATGCCTTGCTGGAACTTGAAACAATTCTGGAGTTTAACTTACGATTCTAATATTGAACCAAATGTCCTGGTTTTTTTTTATAATAAGCTGTGCAAAGTAAATACTATTCTTTTCTATAGAAATTTTTTTTAACTAATTTTATGCTTAGTTAAGCTGTATTTGTTCTGTTTTAGGTTAATTATGCAGCACTGGAGCGTTATAAGTGGATCATCAATAGGGTTCGCTCCTATGGAATGAAGGTAATGCTCACTCTATTTCATCACTCATTGCCACCATGGGCTGGTGAGTATGGTGGTTGGAAACTGGAGAAAACTGTTGACTATTTCATGGATTTTACCAGGTTAGTCATTTTCTAAGTGAGATGTCTCAGTGAGTTGCTTTATGCCGTTCAGATTGTAGCTGATCACTCTGTTCCTCATTTGTCTCCCATCATAAGTGAACAAAGATCATGATAAGACAAACTTGTGAACACATTAATATGGATAAAGCTGTTGCTTTCTTGGTTGCTCATTCATGTCATATCTCAAAAATTAACTGAATGTAGTCATTAAAAAACAGAATATGTAGTGACCTTGATCAGATTGTAAGAAGTTGGAAAATGTAGATTTCTTGGTTGCTTCTTGATATTGCTTCTTGCATTGAGCTCATTTGATGGTTCTTACTTTGGGAAATCAGTGGAATGACTTATACTATCTTATTAGCTATGGAAGTCTGATGTTTCTGGTTTTCTGCAGGCTTGTTGTTGATAATGTATCAGATATGATAGACTATTGGGTAACCTTTAATGAGCCACATGTCTTCTGTATGCTTACATATTGTGCTGGGACTTGGCCTGGTGGTAATCCTGATATGCTGGAGGTTGCTACGTCTGCTCTGCCAACTGGTGTTTTTAATCAGGCCATGCATTGGATGGCCATTGCACACTCCAAGGCGTATGATTATATCCATGACAAAAGGTTTCTCCTCCTCGTACAATCTCTGAAGAATAAAGAATTTTGTGAAGATATTTCTTTTATATAGAACAGAAAACAATAACATACACGCAGAAGCATTTCTAATCCAAACAATATACTCAGTAAACTTCTCATAATTCTCAAAATCGTTGTAATTTGAATAATGCTTTAGTTCCAACAACTTGAGGCAAGTTAAGATACTAAACTTCTTGTATCATTATATTGTTTAGGGCTTTACTCTGTTAAATTCATGGTAGGCCGTATCTTTCCCCACCATATATATTGTTTTTGGTTTTGTCTCCCTGCTTACCTAACAAGATAGCTATTCAAATAGATGCAAAATTCTATATTTCTTTCCCTTCTTATTAGCTTTTCTAATATTCTATGTTCTTTTTTCAGCAGCACATTATCAAAGACAAAAGTTGGGGTGGCACACCATGTATCATTTACACGACCATATGGTCTCTTCGATATTGCTGCAGTGACACTGTCTAATTCTCTTACCCTCTTCCCATATTTGGATAGTATCTCTGATAGGCTGGATTTCATAGGCATTAATTACTATGGACAGGTTCTTATTGATTTCTCTTTCCAAGTACACTGTAACTGTCTTCATCATACAAAGGTACTAACACTTCCATTTCAGGAAGTGATATCTGGTGCTGGCTTGAAGTTGGTAGAGACTGATGAGTATAGTGAATCTGGGCGAGGTGTATATCCTGATGGCCTTTACCGCATGCTGATTCAGTTCCATGAAAGATACAAGCATCTAAATGTACCATTTATCATTTCGGAAAACGGGGTTGCTGATGAGACCGATATCATTCGTCGACCATATCTTATAGAACATCTACTTGCTATTTATGCAGCAATGATGACAGTTTGACACTTGAACTTTTCACTAGTTTTGGATTGGTTAGCTTTCATTAGTTCATTTCATAGTCACTATTGACCTTCCTGTGGTTAATTTACAGGGTGTTCCTGTGCTTGGTTACCTGTTTTGGACTATTTCAGATAATTGGGAGTGGGCTGATGGTTATGGTCCCAAGTTTGGTCTTGTTGCAGTTGATCGTGCCAATAATCTTGCCCGGATTCCTCGTCCTTCATACCATCTTTTTACCAAGGTTTGAATTATGATTGTTTGCATTAGATTCCTTGGTCTTTTTTTTTCTTCTAAATGGCATTGGTTGCATTTTGATTTCAGGTTGTGACCACTGGTAAAGTCACACGTGGAGACCGAGCACGTGCATGGAATGATCTCCGAGTTGCGGCTAAAGTGAAAAAAACACGACCTTTCTACAGGGCAGTAGACAAACGCGGTTTAATGTATGCAGGTAGACTGAGCAGTTTAAATTCTTTAAATTCCAAGTTATATTTCATCTTCTTTGTTCTCAGTCATGCTATTCATCCTCACAAAAAACCTTTTTGTCTTAATTGTTAACTATATGGTCCATTTGCTCGCTCTAACATTGATGATAAAGTTTCCTTATAAAGGCAAACTTCTCACTTGAGGTTGTGAATAAATTTGTTTATCTATTTTTGTTTAAATCCCTTAAATTATGTACGATATAATCTTCTCATTTTGTTCTATTGACAGGAGGCCTTGATGAACCAATGCAACGGCCTTTTGTTGAACGAGATTGGCGGTTTGGCCACTATGAGATGGAAGGTCTGCAAGACCCATTGAGCCGCTTATCGAGACTCATTCTGCTGCCATTCTCCCTTATAAGGAAAAGAAAACCACAGAAGGATGATGCTGAGTTGGTTCTTCAGTCCCTTGAATTTAGCTAATGATCGTTTACCTGTTTCATCAAACTCTTAAGCAAGGTACACCAACTTCCCCTTTTGCTTATAAATGATGTGTGTTCTACTAGTATCTTAGCTTGGTGCCTCGAAAAGTTTAAAAGTTTGTAAGGGTAACTGCATCTGTGGCATGTCTGTTCCAAGTACCTAGCACCAAATAATTAAATTGTGGCTCCCTTCAAATGATAGTCACTGCTTTTGTGTGCTTTGAGCATTAATGTCATGATTTACCTCTACAAATTGCTTCTCATTTAATAAGCCACGGAGGGTATTGCAGCTTGTTATGAGTCGTCGACGATCTATGTTCTTTACTCACAATGTTTTCTTCATAGTATTATCTTGTATCAATTATTGACCATCTTCTGCGCAGCCTAAATGCTTCTTTAATCTCTAGAAAAATAACTCATGAGGTTTTTTTTTTTCTTTTTTTCTTTTTTTCTTTTTGATGCTTCAGTGCGGAAATGATTCAACTAAAAATATATTTTGCACCAAAGAGTTGTTAAGATTAGAATGGGTATTAGTTGGTGTGGATGCTGCAGAACCGCGGGGCAGCATTTTTGCAACTTAATTGTAATGTAATCCGGCCGTGATCTTAAAGTACTGTTACTACAGATACAAAATCACGTCGGTATTTCGTGTGAACAGATATCATGTATATTTATTACAAGGTTAAAGCCGTGGCAATAGATTACTGTGTTAGTCTCTTCCGAGGATTAGTTGAGGTATATATTGGATTGAACACCTTGATTATAGAAAAAAAAAAAAAAAAAAAAAAAAAGGAGGTTGGATCTGGGACTATAAGTACATGGATTACCCAAATCATAATATATTAAAAATGAGTAAGTTGGTCTTCCCATACCTTAATCACCTTCATTAAAGGTTCTAGCTCTCTATAAATTGATTGAATAAGTTTATTTATTTGGGTAGGCTTATTTAAATCTCAATAAAACTCTTTGTATAAGCCATTTTTTTTTTTAATAAATAAAGTTCATTAAAAAAATTTATTTATAAATATCTTATAGTTTTATTTCAATATTATCTTCGAGATATATGATACATATAATTAAATATATAGGTATAAGATCACTAAATATTAAACTCATCAACTTCGTTAGAAAGTTTTAAAAAACTTCTTATAATTATCATAAACCCTACATATATCGACAACCGTAAGAATCATCATGTTCACCTTGAAAGACCTTAACTCGGCGAGGAAGATGTCGGAGAAAGCTTGTCGGAGATACATACTACTCTCAATTCCTGTTGCACGCATTGGCAGGCAGTTAATTAACCAGAAATTGTTTTGCCTACTTTACATAGAGCATACGTCTTTCACTATATATGCTTCTTCCACACTACTTTTCCTTCTCCTCCCTTCACCCTTACCCCTTAGCAATCCCCTCCGCCCAAACCCCACCGTCCTAGGGTGCTTTTGCGGCTTCGAACAAGGCTACGACGAGTGCAAACAACTTCTTCTACTAATCAGCAGAATCTTAGCCAAAATGTTAAACTCAAACAATAATACTAACTTAACAAACCCCTCTCATTAACTCCATGTGGGAGTTTGTAATTAGCTTGATCAGGCGGGTTCTATTATTGGACAGGCGAGTTCCATGTGAACTGACGAATTATGAGTTGACACGTGACGTTTGTGAGAGAAAATTAGTGAGAAGTGTTCGCGAGTGTAGTGTTGCTCGTAACTCAGAATACTTCACCGACTATTACCCCTAAAATTTTAATATTGATATGATCCCACTATTTTAACTTCCTTACAATTGTGCCCCTCTTCTAATCTTTTTTTAATTCTTTTTTTTTTTTTAATTACTTATATCAAGTATTAATATTCTAATTATTATATTTATATATATTTTTTATTATGTTAGTTATTTTAATTATATTTTTTACTTGTTACATTAAGTTGTTATTTATCTTGAAATTTTTTAATTTTATAACATAGTTAATGAGTTAATTGTATGATAATTTTTAGTATTAATATTCTTATGGTGTCCTCAGACCAAAGTTCTGACCGAAGCTCATTAACAGCCGATGAACTCTACTGATTTCTCGAAGTATTATAGATTCACTGTATATAAAGCATATTAAAAAAAGGAAAAAGAAAAAGAAAGTAGAATCAGTAGAAGTGGGTTCCATAGAATTGGAATATGCTCAGTGGACATAATATTAAGTAGGAAAGTGGGGAATTCTTTGGTTGTTTTTGGTAACCAGAGGGATTGTTTTTCTTTGGCTAATATTGTTGATATAGAAATCTGCACCAACCAGAGAATTCTAATTGACTTTGTCAGAACCGGAATGGATGTGTGTGTGAAATAATGTAAATCAGCAATGAACAAAAAAGAAAGAGTCATAAATAAGAACACAAGACAATTTTTAAAATGGTTCGACAAGTTATAACTTGAACCTACGTCCACTGTTATCTTATTGCTTTTGAGAACTTACAAAAAACAATATAATTCATAGGAAATTTTACTTAGAACAATAGTCAAACCCCCCTAAAAATAAGTTATGATGGGTTTATATATCACTCATTTACATGATAGAGTTGAGATAAGATTCAAATACGTAAAATTAGGAAATCGCATGATCTTCGGCTACCTTAGTTGCAGTCTAAGTCAATCTGAATGTCTTTATTCTAAATTAAACCAATCTAAATATCTTCTCCTCTAATAAGGAATTATCTACTCCGGATTGACCGCACATCAAATATTATTAGCTAGCTGGTTCAAGAATGAGCACGACAACATCTTCTCAAAGCTTCTATCCCTTTGGTTACGTGAATGATCGACAGAGAATAGAGAACAAAATTTGCTGCCAATAAGCATATTCCAATTCCAACCCAACAAGCATTATTTTTCAGCATATTCTTATTTTAATTACCTCAACTAGCTCAAGTAAACTATTAAACCAATATCATTAACCTTCCAAAAATATATACATATTGTTGTCAAAGTCAAACATTGGTTAGTAGACGACGGCCTTAGTCACTTATAGACTAATACAGAGCCGAATTATACCCTCACAACTTTCAGGATAAAACCGTGTGGGCCTTAGGGTTTAAAGCGGATAATACTTTTAATAACCCACCTACCAAGTGTCTAGATGGATAAAACCGTGCGGATCTTAAGATCTAAAATGGATGATACTTCTAAGAATTCACCTATCATATGTTTTGATCCGACATAAGTCAACAATACACATGGAATAAATAACTAAGTTTTCAATATATTAAAAATTATACATATACAATTGATCAATTTCAGAATAAATATACATGTGGTTCAGTTTTATTGAACAATTTATTCGAGAAGTGTATGCACAATTATCTTCTTTTTTTTTTCACACATTGACTGCGCAAATTTCCCTCCTGATTCTCCTCTTCTTCGACTTCTTCACCTCGTTCAAATCATGGCTGGCTTGGAAGTTGGAACACGGATAAGGGAAGAGACTTGGACAAACCAGAAGGAGTCTTGAAGGTAATATTGGACCCATTTGGAGAATCATAATTCACATAAATTTCACGTAATGAAATCCAAATCAGAAACTCTTTGGCTTTGACACCGGTCAGGTTCTTGATCCTGTTTTGCTCAAAATAGGCAGTAACTTCGATATCAAACAACACAGCTACATTATCAAACCTGTGCTCACTTTTCTCCTTGTGTTTAAGCCATACAAACCCTAATTCTTTCACGTACCCACATTCTTCAATGTCTTGGTGAATCGTTAGGAGACCAACGGGCAAGCCATTGTCGGCTAACAGAAGCATGAACTTCTCTCTGCACGTTTCATCTCCATGATAAACTTCAGCTTTTGCTTTCATCTCTTCTGTCACCACAGACATCTCCTTCAGCATCTGCCTGCTTGAGCTTGATTTAGTTGGCTGAAGAAGATTTGGAGATAACATGGCGTGACTCTTTGTTATTTCTCAAAGAATATGGACGGTTTGAAAAGTTATGGGGGTTGCTCTGAAATTATTTAAATGTATTATCAAATCATATGAATATTTTATCAGGTATATTATTTATAATATTATATGAAAAGAATTATTAGCTNAATTGATCAATTTCAGAATAAATATACATGTGGTTCAGTTTTATTGAACAATTTATTCGAGAAGTGTATGCACAATTATCTTCTTTTTTTTTTCACACATTGACTGCGCAAATTTCCCTCCTGATTCTCCTCTTCTTCGACTTCTTCACCTCGTTCAAATCATGGCTGGCTTGGAAGTTGGAACACGGATAAGGGAAGAGACTTGGACAAACCAGAAGGAGTCTTGAAGGTAATACTGGACCCATTTGGAGAATCATAATTCACATAAATTTCACGTAATGAAATCCAAATCAGAAACTCTTTGGCTTTGACACCGGTCAGGTTCTTGATCCTGTTTTGCTCAAAATAGGCAGTAACTTCGATATCAAACAACACAGCTACATTATCAAACCTGTGCTCAATTTTCTCCTTGTGTTTAAGCCATACAAACCCTAATTCTTTCACGTACCCACATTCTTCAATGTCTTGGTGAATCGTAAGGAGACCAACGGGCAAGCCATTGTCGGCTAACAGAAGCATGAACTTCTCTCTGCACGTTTCATCCCCATGATAAACTTTAGCTTTTGCTTTCATCTCTTCTGTCACCAGAGACATCTCCTTCATCCTCTGCCTGCTTGAGCTTGATTTAGTTGGCTGAAGAAGATTTGGAGATAACGTGTCGTGACTCTTTGTTATTTCTCAAAGAAAATGGACGGTTTGAAAAGTTATGGGGGTTGCTCTGAAATTATTTAAATGTATTATCAAATCATATTAATATTTTATCAGGTATATTATTTATAATATTATATGAAAAGAATTATTAGCTGAGACTATATACCTATTTACTATATATGAGTTGTTTGCCTTATTTAAAAAGAACATTAAAGATTATTCGTTACATTATTTTATATTCTATTTTCATTTTATTTGCTTAATAATTATTCTAATTTTTGAAACAAGAAATAAAAAAAATAGATAATTTAATATACTGTATATAACTAAAAAAAATTAAAGACACAAAAAATATATAAAATATAATATTAAATGCCACCTTTTTTTTTTTTTTACGTGGCAGAAGCCCATTTCGGGCCCTTGTCCCTTCTGACAATTTGTCAACGTGGACCAACCCTAATTTTCTTTGTGGCCCATCATGCAACTGGGATGGCCTCCAGATAATCTCCTCTTAAAAGTAATCACAGCCGTTGATATTATTTTTTATATTTTATGACTGTTATGCCGCTCCACTGTCTGAAGAAACGGAAAAATTCTGACATCCGACGGTAGAAGACTCGAAGGTTTTGCGTAATTTCTGGCACATGAGGGTTTTTTTTAAAGTTACAGAAAGCATCAAGGGGTTTAAATAATCCCATAAAAATAATACCTAAAATGATTTTCTTATCAATTTTGTATTATTTTTTTCTTCCTCTAGTTTAGAGAGACTTTTTATTTAGCCCTTCACCTTTTGATGATTTATCCGTTGGTCGGCCAGAGCTCGGTATATATTATCCTCAAAATTTGCGAATCTCTAATCGGTGATCATCTTAATTAAACCCCGCAAACTCTCATCTTTATTTACCTAAAATTAGCTTCACAAACGTTCTTCTTTTCAATCCTTTGATCCATAAAGCTGCAGAAAAAAATTCCAATTTTTAAGCGCTAAAAATGATCTCTTTTATTCCAAAACAATAAAAATATGAACTTCAATCGAACACCAATCTCGAAATCTTCATAAGGTAAGCAGATCTCTGTCCTTTTTTGATTTTATCAACTGGGTATTTAAGATTATGAGTGATGAATTGAAAAGATGAGTTTTTTTCCTGATGAAGTTTTACAACAAATTCTTGCAAGATTGCCACTTAAGTCCCTTTTTAGGACAAAAACAGTGTGCAAAATTTGGTATCGATTAACTTCTGACAAGTATTTTGTTCAACTGTACAATGAAGTGTCTTCTAAGCATCCAATGTTATTAGTTGAGATTTCAGATTCAACAGAATCAAAATCTAGTCTTATATGTGTGGATAATTTGAGGGGTGTATCTGAAGTTTCCTTAGATTTTTTACATGATAGAATTAAGGTCAGAGCTTCATGTAATGGATTGCTGTGTTGCTCTAGTGTCCCCGATAAGGGTGTTTATTATGTATGCAACCCTATGACTAGAGAGTGGAAGTTGCTCCCTAAGAGTAGAGAGAGGCCTGTGACTCGCTTTCATCCAGATGGTGAGGCCACTTTGATTGGTTTAGCTTGTGATCTAACAATGAATAAGTTTAGTGTTGTGTTAGCCGGTTATCATCGCACATTTGGTCACAGGCCTGATGGGACTTTCATTTGTTTGATTTATGATTCTGAATCAAATAAATGGAGGAAGTTTGTTTCGTTTCAAGATCATCAATTCAGTCACATGAATAGAAATCAAGTTGTGTTTGTGAATGGTGCTCTTCATTGGTTGACTGGTAGTTCTTCTTGTATACTTGCGCTTGATTTGGATTGTGACACTTGGAGGAAGATTAAATTGCCGGATGTGGTTTTTTATGGGTCTGGAAATAGAGTATACTTGTTGGAATTAGATGGGTGCTTGTCTGTGATTCAAATTTCTGATGTGTGGATGAAAACTTGGGTGTTGAAGGATTACTACAGAGAAGAATGGCATACAGTGGATAGGGTGAGTCTTAGATGTATAAGGGAAATGGTTCCAAGCATTTTTCCAATAAGTCAAACAAATGAATATGTCTTCTTAGCGTCTCATAAGCAGGTGTTGGTGTATCATCGAAAGAGTAGATTGTGGAAAGAGATGTATTCTGTGAAGAATAGCTCAACACTTCCATTGTGGTTTTCGGCACATGCATTTCGAAGTACCATTTCCTCTTTGTAATGAAGGTGTGTTCTTAAATTCTTATATGCATCTACTGCTTAAATTCATATCTGCATATTCTGCTTATTTGGATGATCATCACATTTTGTTTTGTAATTTGACATGTCCTCAGAATAAGTTGAAATGAAATGAAGTTGCTGTTGTACATATCAAGCTTTGTATTTTTATGCGATATGACCTTGGCCAATAATATCTTCTTTGTCGATAACTAGTGCGTCGAGTTTGTTATCAGATTCAAATTTTAGTGCTCTGGAGTTGGTTGTTGTCACTTGCACCGCAATAATCTTCTTATACGGACAACTGGTGCTTCAAGTTTGTTATCAAATTCAAATTTTAGTGCTCTGGAGTTGGTCATTCTTACTCAGCTGCAATAGTCAAAGCAATTGAGCTTGGTAATGATATGTATTGCATACAATTCATTTAATCTTGATTTGTATAGTATGATAAAAATTTTAGTCCTGGTAAGAAGTCTTTCATTTTGCAAAAATTTTTTAATTGTAATTATTGACTATGTAAATCTGCTGGAAATTAAGTTATGAATAAACCCTTTTTCCATTTCTTCAAGAAAAGGTAATCATCTTTTGGTAATATGTTCATTACTATATCAAAGCTAATATCAGTTCATGATTATGATTACAGTTTATCATTATTGCTCTTCTAAGAAATTTGTCAGATTGTTCACGTGTTTTGAATGAAGAATTTTTATTATTCAGTAACCTTAGAGCATAACATGAAAGGGCAAGGTATTGCTTAGTGTGCTGCTTTGAGGAGGCGCACAAAGCAGAAAAATTCTAACATAATATAACAATAAAATAACCCACCAAAAGAAAATGAAAAACAACTGCAATCTTTTATAAAAATTATGAGGAAGAACAATAGATTGTTTAGAATGCAATTAGAGATCAATTATCTAGAGAATAATACCACCATAGAGGAGCAGTTAACTATATAGGTGACCAATTATCCAATCTGAAATGCTCCAATTGTTGATCTGAGAACCAGGTCGATGCTCCATTGTGGAAAGAGATGTATTCTGTGGAGAACAGCTCAACACTCCTGTTGTGGTTCTTGGCACATGCGTTCCGAAGTATAATTTCCTCTTTGTCAATTAGGGCGTGTTCTTACATTCTTTTATGCATATACTGCTTATTTGGATGATCATCACATTATGTTTTGTTATTTTACATGTCCTCAGAATAAGTTGAAATGAAATGAAGTTGCTATTGTTCATATCAAGCTTGGTATTTTTATGCAATATGTCCTTGGCCAATGATATCTCTTAAATGGACAACTAGTGCGTCGAGTTTGTTATCAGATTCGAATTTTAGTGCTCTGGTGTTGGCCATTGTTACTTACACCTCAATAATTTTCTTATATGGACAACTAGTGCATCAAGTTTGTTATCAAATTGAAATTTTAGTGCTCTGGAGTTGGTCATTCTTACTCAGCTGCAATAATCAAGGCAACTGAGCTTGGTAACGATATATCATACTTGTACAAGATGTTTATGAGTTGGAGATCCTTTATATTGCATACAATTCATTTAATCTTGATTTGTATTGTATGATAAAAACTTTAGTCCAGGTAAGAAGTCTTTCAATTCACAAAAAGCATATAAGTGTTGCTTCAATTGTAATTATTGACTATGTAAATCTGCTGCAAATTAAATTATGAATAACCCCTTTTCCATTTCTTAAAGAAAAGGAAATCATCTTTTGGCAATATGTTATTATATTTCAGCAAATATCAGTTCATGTATCAGATTACAGTTTATCATTGTTGCTCTTGTAAAAAATCTGTCAAAATGGTTCATGTGGTTTTGAATGAAATTCTTACATGTGAGTAAACTTGGAGCAGAACATGAAAGAGCTTAATTTTGCTACTTTTTGGAGGGGCTTAAAAGCAGAAAGATTCTATCAAAAATATAACAAAAAATAACCCACCAAAAGGAAAATGAAAAGCAACTGGTCTTTATTAAAATTGTCAGGGAAAGAACCATACATGGTGTAGAATGCAACTGGGTCAAGTGCAGCAGTTAACAAAATTGGTGACCATTAAATTTAGATGGTAGAAAAGCTGCCTGAGTCATCAGTATCCAGTCTGAAAATGGTCCAATCATCGATCTGAGAACTGGTTCAATCTATGTTCACGCCCATTATGCCACTCATTACGTCATGGAGGTTCAAGTTCATATTATCTTAAACAAGTTTTAGACTTAATCAATTTCTCCTCCATCATTCCCTTCGTACACAGTGCTCGTGACAATTTGAATAAGAGAAGCAACGAACAGACACAGAGCAGGATACCGACCAATCGGTTTCTTCCAAGCGTAATTTCAGTGATTGAACTGAATAATACGATGGAAAGGGTTGGCTTGGCACGTCAAAAATACGATGAAGAGTATGAAATTTCCCGATAATCCAATGTTTCAGAAAGTTTATCCTGTTTTTAATTTTGTAGAACATTTTGCAAGCATACTGTTTGTTTTATCAATGGAGTTAAGAGTCATTGACTCTTTCATGCGACTGGGGACGGCTACTTATTCCTTTGTTATGTGGAGCAGGAGCACCATTCTCTCACTCGTTGCTTTAGTTGGGTTGCCCAAGTTCACTGTGCTCATGGTAAGTCCGTCTTCTAAATAAATTCTTAGATACTTAATTTAGTGGTTGAAGTTATTATAAAACAGCTGCTGGTTTACATTGCAAAATTTTGTATTTCAGTTTATAGCTGCTTTGTTGTCTTCTCCAGTTAGGTTCACCAATGGAATTATAATAGTAGTTGCCATTTTTGGAACTGTTTTCCTATGGTTTCATTGAAGTTTCTGGACAACTGTGATTGTTATCTTCCTTAGAGGTGATCATTTTACCCTTTTTCTTATGGATGGTTTGGAAGGCAGTTTGAGTCCCTCCTCGTATGCTAATAGGGATAGCTACTTGAGTTCTTATCCGGTCAACAGTTTCATGATCCTAGGGGATTAGTTAAGGTGTAAGTAAGCTGACCCAAACATTTCCGGTCATAAAAAAAAAGTACGCATAAACTGACCCCAACAAACCCGATCATTAAAAAAAACAAAGATAAGAGAGATGGGTGAAACATTCTTGTCAACCAACACTTCAAATTAGCAAACCTACACACTAAACTAAAAAATTTATCTACAAATAAATTAATGGAAAACTGTTCATGCTATAGACAACTCTGGGGCATTACCATCATGCCGCTACTTGTTCCCTCAATGTTCTTACATGAAGATTTAGACTCTCCATTCGTGTAAGTAAGTTTAATATCTTGCAAATTGATCCCTTTGCATGGATTACTAGGGCTGCAATCAAATGTCACAGCCTCTTTATTAGCAGAAGTTCCTCGTGTTTCTGTATGTCACTTCACTAATCTCCACACCCGAAGCCTGTTAACAATGGTGGAAAAATTAGTTAAAAAACCTGACATTATGTATCAAATTTTACCTTTAAAATGCCCATATTATGTACCTGATAAGGACATCCTTGGTTGTGGGGGCAATAATTTTGATCTATTATAATGGGGTTCTTGACGTTATTCATTAAGATGTTTTCGAAGACAACATTTCTCACAAAACCAGTGCTAGGTCTTCCCCATGACTTGATTCGAACTCCATTGTCTGACCCTGTGAAAACTGCGTTTGTTAGTGTCACGTTTTCGACTCCATGTTCATTGAAGTTCCTCGCAAGACTGCCAATGCTGTGAAAGGCATAAGCATATATAATATTAGCATAATAACATTCGTATGGTGAAAGTTCAACCCAAATTTTGTTCTATTGATTCCAGTACCTTACACCATGTCCAGGGCCACATTTGATGTTGCTGATTAGCAAATTCCTGGTACCTGGACCGATTGATATACAATCATCTCCGGTCCGGAAAGTTCCACCCGTGATTAAAACGCGGGAGGAGGATTGAACATGAATACCGTCTGTATTGGGACTTTTGTCCGGAGCAATAAGCTTCACATTTCGGACTTTAACACACCGTTGCAACTATCGATTACCAGATGAGCCGCCTGACTGTTGATTGATGTCAAGTCTCTAATTTTGATGTTATTTGCCCAACTGAATGTTATTGACCGCATCACACAGACGATATCTTATATGCAGTTATGCACATATAAAAACCAGTTTAAATTACGAGGGAATTAAGAAACTTATACCTTAGCACCAGCTGGGCAATTCTGTCTGGATTTCCTGCAATCCCAGAAGGCAGCACCCTTTGCATCAAGATGGCCACCTTTGACTGAAAGATTATCAACTTTTCGAAACAAAATCCAATGTTTCGACTTTCCAAGCGCACGGTAATTATCTGAAGGAGCCACAATCGTTCCGTTTATTTGAACTGTAATTCTATTCCTGCATGGCCCTCCAAACTCTACTGCCATAATCAGATATCTTCCTTTAGGGATTAAAATTGTGGAGGAGGCCTGACCTGAGCTACATGCAGCTCTCCATGCCTCGAGGGAAGACTGAGTTGAGTCTACTTTGCCATCTGGTTTCGCACCATAAGTAATCACATTAACGTGTGTTGAATTTGTTGATTGGATAAAGAATATGATAAAGAGATGGACTATAGAAGAAACAAAAACAATAAGCTTGGCCGCCATGTGCAAACAGAGACAAGAAAGCTAGAGAATCTCAGATAATTTGTAGAGAGTTTGATAAACAAAGAAGGGTACACAGTAATCGGTTCTCATTATTATTTATATTAGACCTTATTTTTTATATATATATATGGGTTGAGTTTTTGCATGACACAAAATTCTTCAATGAAAATCTTTATAACTAAATAAATGGATTAACTTATTGATAATTATGATTAATTATAAGATTAATTAGAAAAAGAAAATGATTTAATGTTTAGGAGCATGATCAGACTCCCATTATATTTATGAAGAATTTGCATGCCCAGGAAATATACAGACTTAAATAGAGAATTAAAGTCCAACCTATTTATAATAGATATCCATAACATAATAAACGTAAAACCTAAAATAAATGTGAAATTATAAGATAAAGATAAATACTATATATTATGTAAAATAAACCTGATAAAAATATTATCTCAAACTTTAATATATTGCTTTGTAAATTAAATGTAATGTGATAAAGGGTATATAGATATTTAAATAAACAATTGACATTTTTGGACGATCGATGTAGCCTTTTACATCAAAGAATTTTAATAACACCAAAACGGTAAACCCTATAACCGAAACTTCTAATAATTTGACAAAAAAGATATTGTTTTCTTGCCAAATCTAAGATTGCATAATAAACACTTAATTTGAGGCTAAAAACTACAAAAATTGGATGTAAAGTGACTAAATGATTTTTTTATATTCTTTTTTCTTTTTTTCTTTTAGTTATCTGAGGCATCTAGAGCCACATTAGAACCTGCATAATACTCAGGGCCATGGAACATGTACCCTACAAGCCCAATGAACTAAGATAATTGCACAAATATGGTAGATACTTCTCCTACGACTCGAACACAAAACCCCTTAAATATAATTAATCATAATGGCTAAAAGGTTTACCATCTGGTTACAGGAAAGAGGTATTATATTCATTTTGGTTGGTGTCATATAGTAATTAATTAAAATGTGGAAATATTAAATATGAAAAACCTTTTAAGTCACTAGGGTTAGTTATAATTAGGGGTCTTGTGTTCGAGTCGCGGCAAGAGAAACACCTATCACATTTGTATAATTACCTTAATCTATTATACTTATACAATGTTTCGTGGCTATGAGAATTAAATAGGCTCAACTGATAATTATGCTCGGATACTTCAGTTATTGAATAAATAAAAACCATTTTATTTATACTTGAAGGCATTTGTTTGTCTATGATTTTTATTTTTATCAATGTGTATTGAAGCAATCAACAAAATCTAATATATATATTAAGACGATTTGATCATGCTTAAAGAGAGTCGAATTTTAGAAATGGTGCATTTGTTTCCCTATTTTTGCCCTATCTTATCCCTATGATTTCCAAAATACACATTTCTTTTCTTACTCTGAAAATATTATTATATTTTATTCAATTTTTAAACCCTCTAAATTTGTTAATTTAACTAAATACCCCCTAAAAAAAGTTTAGAAATTGATAAAAACACCCCCACCCATCTACATTTGCTAGATTCTGACCACCACCAACGAAAGATGGCTGTAATTTGGTATAATGTCACACTACCATCTGGATCTGGCCAGTAGTACATCGATATAGTCTTTTTTTGCCAGATCCACGGTGGATCTAGCTAAAAAAGGCCATCTTGACACACGACCGACTAAATCCAGCCAGTTGTGCTCCGATACGACAACTTTGGCCACCCTCCGACAGTGGTGACTAGCTACTGGTATTTAATGGGTAGGTGAGAGTGTTTTTATAATTTTTAATATTTTTATTAAAGAGTGTTTAGTAAATTAACAAATCTAAGAGAATATTTTTGTTAATTTTTAAATCTTACCTCCTTGTTATCACTTCATTCTTACTTTTTCAAAAATATCAAAACAAATTAGACTGATACACGTGTATATGTAAGTATAAGACTAATGAAGGAGAATCCTAATCCAGAGTGGCGCAAGGCATTCCTACGCCGCGATTGGAGACAGCAATATCCAAGTGAGCCAAACAGTCCGTAACAACAATAACTCACAAGTCACAACACAACTTCGATTACCTGGCTGCTTCGTGGTAGTGTCTGTCTCTGTGTCTTTGCCTTGCCCAGTCGCATATATTGTTACATTTTTTTAATTCAAAACTGAAAAGGTTTGACATTCTCTCTTTTCTTTAACAACAGAATCAGTTCAAGAACACCACCAACATCACTTTTTTAATTTTCTTTTTTTAATGCTCTAAAAACTCCTTGTTTTAGGGCTTATCTCTGCTTATTGTTCATACTCCTCTCTCTATCTCACAAAGTGCCTGCACTTGGCTTTACTTAAGGTATGTCTGTTGAATAAATTGTTTATTTATTTATTTTGATTTTTGATGGTTTCATTTAATCACTAATTGAACTTTTTTTTTTTTTCTTCTTCTTAGACCGAATTTTGATGTCTAAACATTGTAGAGGATGGTTAAAAACTGGGTTTTTAATTAATTTATTTTTTTGTTAAATTATGAAGTTTGGTTCTGAAATGGGTTTGCCTTGGTTTTATCACCAAGCCGAGTTCATGTCATACGATTCATGGATTATGTTAAGGTCTTTACAGAACTTAGTATTATAGTTCTATCTTGTAGAAAATTTGATACTTCAACCTATAGCTAACATGGGTATTTCTTTAATTTTGATTTATTTTATTTATTGCTTCTTCTTCTTCTTCATTTTTTTTTTTTTTTGTGGCTTGAGAGCATTAGCTTTGTATATTTATAGTTGCAAGTGCATTTCCTTGCAGAAAACTATAGTTTGTAGTGATGTAGAAATAATTTTGTGTGTTGTGTTGATATTAGAATATAAGTGGAATTGTTTTGATGATAAGGAGTAAATGACCCTGTAGCTTACTGATAGTTATTTAGCTTCTCGTAACTTAAGCGCTTCAAATATTGTGTTTCATTGAGCTCTATGGGAATGGTTTGTTTTAAGTATTATTGACTTCATTTCTAAGTTTTCGGTTCAAGAGAGAAATTTTAAATGGTGGAGCAGTGTGATTTATCTTATGCGATAAACAGTTGAAAAGTAAGGTGTAGAGCATCACTTGTTATCTATGTGCAAAATATGATGCATCTTTTTTTTTTTTTTTTTGGTGAGGTATTGGTGATTCTGCCACTAGTCAATCAGTTTCCTGTTATCTTGATTTGTAGTTTTATTTAACCTGCATTATTGGTTGTTCTTCATCAAGTATTGTTTTTCTTCCTGTTACATCATTGTATACAAGATCAGAAAACAATTGTTTAGAAGCATCAGACATGACTTTCCATTGTTTATGAAAAATTTTCTGCTTGCTTTTAAAGCATCCCTATGAAATATACAGACTGATTATATTTTCTGTTGACAGATTATATTCAAGTGATAGAAAAGTTTATGTTTGTCTTGTGGAATCCATCTTGCTTGACGTAGCTTCTGTGATGGCTTAAAATGGATTAAATTGTCTTCTTCTGTAAACTATTTCTTGATAAATATTGTTCCATGGCTCGGAAGGGTAATCAGCAAAAGAATGGCTTGGATCGTCAAGCATCAAGCCACAGAAAAAAAGGTTCGAATTCAGGGTCTCCTGTCCCTGATATGACAGGACAGGGTAGAGACAGCAAGGTAAAGGTTTTTCCTGGGGAGGATCTCCCAGATGGTTGCCATCAAGGCATTCCTTTCGTGGACAGTGCAAGTAAAGCCCATCATGCAGGAGATGAGAATAAAAGGAAGCAAAATTGTGGGGCATCTCCCAGAAAAGAGAAGCAAGGAACTGATTTGCAGGATATTGACCAATCGGTTTCTTCCAAGGGCAATTCTGGTGATGACACTGAAAATATTTCTTCGATGCAAACGCCTAATATAAGAGAAGCAATTGCTCGCCGTGGTAGAAAACATGGAAAGAGTGGCCTTGGTTGCTTGCTGAATGGATTGCATGTTAAAAATGCGATGGAGAATGTTAAGTTTCCGGATAACGAGCTGGTTAGAAGCCTAAGGGCACAGATATCATCCAAGTTGGAGGCAGCATTTGAGTTGTTGGAGAGGCAGATGCCATTGTTTGTTTCTCTAACAACAAAGTTTTATAATGCCTGTGATTATGTTAAAATGAAGTTTCAGCAAGTTTATCCTGTTGTTCTAATTTTTCTCAAACATTTGGCAAGCATACTACTTATTTTATCAATGGTTTGGTTGGACTGTGCTCTAAGGGGCATTGACTCTTTTCTGCGGATGGGGACAACATCTTTCTTTTCAGTTATATGGTGCAGCATTCTCTCAGTAATTGCTATGGTTGGGATGGCAAAGTTTCTTATGGTCCTGGTAAGCATTGGTGCTTTCTCTTAAACAAATTCTTGATACTTTAGTTGTTGAAGTTATTATCGAGATTTGGTTATATATATGACCAAATGTACTTTTAGTCTGCAGTATATTCGATTTTTTTTTTTTTTTAATTGTTGTGGCTGTAATCCTTGCATGCGATAGAAACTTATTTTGTCAGCTAGTGAAGCGTCCCTAGATCTTTTAAAATAGCTTTTGGTTTACATGATTTCTTATGTAGTTGAACCAAACTTTGTATTCTCAGGTTATACCTGCTTTGGTGGCTTTTTTTATTGGGTTCACCCTTGCAATCATAGTAGTTGCCCTTTTGGGAACTGTTTTTCTATGGTTTTATGGAAGTTTTTGGACAACAGTGCTTGTTATTTTCCTTGGAGGTGATCATTTTTCCCTTTTCCTGATTGTGTGTCTTTGTGTTTACTTTTTTTCAATGTTTGTTTTCCTGACCTTGGGAAGGTTTAATACCTGCTAATGTTTCAGGATTGGCATTCAAGTTGAGCCATGAGAGCCTTGCACTATTTATTACAACTGTGTACTCAATATATTGTGCTTGGACTTATGTTGGATGGCTTGGTTTGCTGTTGGCACTGAATTTATCTTTTATCTCAAGTGATGCTCTGATATACTTTCTAAAGCATAACATAAATCAACAAAGAAGAACGGATGGGCCCCATGATCAAACCTTTGGGATGCAAGGTGGACCAGGGTACTTCAATGGTGAGTCAGGGCATGCTTCATCCTCTGATAATGCCCCGGGGTTATCTGCTGATCGTAGTGCGGGAGTGCCTTCAACTAGTGGGGCAGACTCTGAGATGACTTCTGAAGATGAAGTAGCTCGGTTGTTGAACTGTACTGACTACTATTCAGCTTTGGGCTTGTCACGATATGAGAATGTTGATGTTTCTGTAGTGAAGCGAGAGTATAGAAAAAGGGTATATCCCATCTTTGTTTATCATTTTTATGATGATTGCACTTTATTTCTCCACTTGCTATATACATGCTGGTTCTGATATTTTCTTGAAAGTTAGTCTTGCAGATCTATCAAAAATTGTTTTGATAGTCTTATTGGCCAAAATTATGGTCTTATAGCTATCGAGGCTTCTTTACTGTTAGATATGTACTATTACTTGCCATTTTGCATTCTTCCTTTAACCAAAAATCAAAGAAGAAAAAGGATAAAAATTTATGTATATATAATGGAGTTTTTCAAATATTTTAGGCTATGTTGGTCCATCCTGATAAGAACATGGGTAATGAGAAAGCTGTGGAAGCGTTTAAGAAACTTCAGAATGCTTATGAGGTAAATTTTATGGTTTCTTCTTATTTATCATTTGAAAGAATCATTTTCACGTTCTATAGACTTATTTTAATTAATGTTAAACTAAAATTTTCTAGGTTCTCCTTGATTCATTAAAGCGAAAAGCATATGATGATGAGTTGAGGAGGGAGGAGCTGCTAAACTGTTTCCGTAGGTTCCAAAGTGCTTCTCAGAAGGTTTGAATATACTTCTCGTTCCTGTTATCTTCCCAGTTTTTTCTTAGATATTAAATTTGAACTTTCTCATCCTTCTCTTTGTTTTTTACCCTACCATTTTCTTTTGTCAAGAAGAAGTCCCTAGCTTATTTTCACTCGACAAGCTTTTGTAATTTGATGAAAAGAATTAAAAGAGTGAGCTTGAGTAATGCTATACTTTGAAGATCAAAATTCGTAGTGGCTCGACATACTGCATTACTTTCATTTTTCTTTTGAGCAAAATTTCATGTGTTCAGTTGGAAATGGTTTGACCCATATTTTTCTGATTGAAATCATTTTCCAAGTTTATACTGAAATTAGCAACTGTCAATGCTGCAAGTAGGCTAGTCAGTATTTGTCATTTATTCTTTTGATATGACTTCAAGTCTTCAATTGTTGGCCTTTGGTTATGTTATTTATTACTAAGGTTGTCCTAGATTTCACGGAGCTTTAAATTGCTCATATTTTCCTTGAATCCTACTTTCCTTCCTGTTTGTGACTGAAATTATTTTTTTCTTTGCTTTTATTTTTTCACTGCCAATATTTGTTGACTATATAAAGCATCTAAGAATCAAGATTATAACATTTACTCAAAAGTACAGCAATAACACAAAAGGTGTTATGAAAATGGAAATTCAGATATTGTTTTTCTAATGCATTAAGCTTCTATAAACTTTCAACTCTGTTCTTAGCACTTAATGTTTTGGTCTAGGTTTTATCAAATCCTTAAATTGTACTTGGCTTTTAATTGTGATTGATTTCTCAGAATGGCAGGCATGGTTTCTTTGCATCCGGATCTGCAAGGTCAGAAACTGATAGTGAGGACCCCATTGGAGATTCTAGGCGAATAGCCTGCAAAAAGTGCAACAACTTTCATGTGTGGATTGAGACCAAGAAATCAAAATCACGAGCAAGATGGTGCCAGGTTTTCCCCTTTGCTTTCTAAAGTTGTGCATGTTTTTAGATGCCAGCCATTAATTGATGTTGGCACTGAACATATTAACTGTACAAGATGGATCCAGCTTTCTGTAAGCATGGTGCGCCTTGTTGGTGTCAATAAGAGAATTTTGTTCCTGGTGCTTATATTTTTCCCCTTGGTTCCCTTTTGAAGGAATGCAAAGATTATCATCTAGCAAAAGATGGAGATGGATGGGTTGAACAATCTTCCCAACCCTTCTTTTTTGGATTACTGCAGAAGGCAAGCATCTCTTATATGCACAGCATTTTTTATTTTACTTTTTTGCTTTTATCATAATTAGCCACTTCTCTATTTGTGAAAATGCCAAAAGTTCATGCCATAACTTTATTTAATCAGACATAAGCCTTAATTTTATTGAATAAGACATAATTTTGAGGTGTGGTTCTGCTTTTTCACTGAAAGTTAAATGTGCAGGTAGATTCGCCTTCTGCATATGTTTGCGCAGATGGCAAGGTTTATAATGCTACCGAATGGTATATTTGTCAGGTTAGTCATTTCTTCCTCTCATCATGAATCAGTACTCATATCATGACGCAATAGTTTTTTGTTATTGCGGATCACAAATTTTGAAGATTTAAGAGTGATGTAATCAAATATTAGAGGATAGTTTTGTATATCTAGCTGTGGTACACGTCCTTTGTCCTTTCATTGAACACCTGCACACAATATGTAAACACACCTCTACACCAAGAGGTATTGGAGTGATGGGATTTTTATTGCAGGGAATGAGATGTCCAGCCAACACTCACAAGCCAAGTTTTCATGTGAATACTAGTTTAACCTCCAAGCATGGTACTAGCAAGGGAACAAGTTCTGGACAAAGAGGTGGTCGGATGCCAACATCTAACCTGGATGAGACCATGACTGAGGAGGAATTCGTAGAGTGGTTACAGAATGCAGTGCAGTCCGGACTGTTTGATAATTTTGGTGCTAGTACCTCCTCCGAAAGCCCAACCGCCAACACGGGATCAGGCTTCAAGGGCAGTGGTGCCAATAATAGCAGTGGCAACAAGAGAAAGAAAAAGGGAAAGAAGCAATGGTGATTTCTTCTTTTTTCTCTCCTGATTCTTATGATAAAACTTGTAAGCTTTGAATGAGCCTACCAAAGATAGGCTCTGAATCTGATGGAAGATGAGATCTTTTGTCTTTTTTCAAGAAAGAAGAGGTTTTACTTTACTATATTGTATGCCAGCATATGATCAGAAGTGCCCTTTCAGGCGCCAATATACAAAGCTTGTATAGCTTTTTACCATCTTTCTTCATCTTCTGAAAAATCAGCTTGAGATGTTCTACTGCCCTAAAATTTGTATACATTGAATTTTCTCCATATTACATAAAACGCCTATCCTATTTATGCCAATGATGGTGTAATTTCTTGTTAGGGTTAATGCTACTCACATTCCTCCGGCTCACAAAATCAACATTTGGTTTTCATAAAATTTAAAATAAAGATAGACTGATAAACAGTTTTTACAAAGTTTCTTTCGTAAATTCAATATGACAGTTGATAATTGGTTTCTGATGAATTCATAGAGTGGAAAAATTTATTAGAACAGAAATCAATTATTAATTATTACATCAGTTTTGTGAGAGAAAATTTATAAAATTCGATTGTTAGTACAATATTGTCCAAAAATTGATGGTTTACTAATGATATCATCTGCTGTTAATTTTTTCAATTTTTGGTCCATTAATGACATCATATTATGTTAATTTTTTTCAGTTGAGTAAATATGACATCATCTTATGTTAACTTTTTTCAGTTGAGTAAATAATAAATATGACAGAAAATGAGGGTAAAATAGATATTTTAAAATGAAAAGAAAAATAAAATCTAAATTAAAAAGAAAAAAAATTACAAATATATATTTTTTAAAACAATTAACAGTAGATTTCTATATATCCATTCAACGGACTTAAACCTCCTTTCTCCCCTAGTACTCCTCTTACGGATATCGTTTCTGAAGCATTTCCCATTTTCTCTTTAAAGAAAATGGACTCACTCCTGCACACAACCTCTGCAACTTCTCTAGCTTCTAAACTCCTAAAACTGAGTGTTCATAAACAAAGCAACTCATTCTTGACGTTCGCAAGAAAATCAGTTATAGTAAGCGCCAAAAAGAGCAGCAAGAAGAATACCAACAAGGAAGACACTCACAGCTTCTTTGACAAACCGGAAGAGGATTCTCTTTTCTTCCCTGAAGCTGTCCTCCTCAAAGAGGTTTTTTGGGACTTCTTTTGTTCCTCAATTTCCATTTATTTTATTGGGTTTCTTTTTTTTTTTCTTTTTTTTTTTTTTTGAATATTGTAGTTACTAGTATGAGTTGTTAGTTTGTAGTTATCACTGGGCAGGGTTTTGTGGTTGGTTTTTAGAATTTAATTAAAAAAAAAAATCCTTTTTTTATTGAATTTTTGGTTGATTTTGTGAATTGGATTTATTTTGTTAAGCTTCTTTTGTTACTCCGTTTCATTTATTTTATTGGGTTTTATATTTGTTTTGACTGTTGTAGTTACTGGTATGATTTTATGGATAAAGTGGTTATCTTGTAGTCAGTACCATTTAGAGTTTCGCGGCAGGTTGTTGGAATTTAGTAAAAAAATTCATTTTTGATTGAATTTGTGGTTGAGTATGTAATATGGGTTGGTTTTAATCTGGGTTGCAGAAGAAAGTTCAGGAAGATGGTAGAGTTCTTCCTGAGTTTGCTGATGCTGAAGAGGGTAAGTGATTATGCTTTAAAGTTTTATTTATTTTTGGGTTTTACAGTGTTTGTTGTACTGATTGTAATGTTTTGAGTATTTGCAGAAGAGCTCTATGAATTTCTTAACCTCCAGTTGCAAAGTGAAGTGTCTGTGGATAGAAGTAAGTAATCTTGCTGGGTTTTGTTTGTCTTTTGCATGACTGGATTGCTGAAAAGAACCTCAGAAAAATTAAAATGTTGTTTGAAGTATTTTTCAAAGTTTGTGTAGACTGGGTAATTGAAGTTTGAGTTATTGTGTATGGTGAAATGGAATCCAAAGTGTTGTGATTGTTTCGCATAAAATAAATGGATAACTTGAATTGGTTGAAGAAATGTTCTTTGTGTGTTTTGCCAGAACTCTTCAAAGGAAATTTGGTGGGAGAAGATTCTTAACTAGCTTGTAGATTGACCTTGTCATGTGCTTTAGGATATATCTTATGACTTATTGTTTCCCTTGTTTGTGCAGTGCGCCACTATGAAGTGGTTTATTTAATTCATGAGAAGCATGCAGAAGAGGTTGGAAGTGTCAATGAGAAAGTTCAAGGTGGATTTTTGGACTAAAATTTTTTAGTGCAATTGTTTTGTTGATTGTTCAACATTATATACTGCTTGGTTCTGAACTATTTTCTTTTCCATTATGAATGAAATGTGTCCTGGATTGTATTTTTTGAGACTGGATGCTTGCGAAGCAGAAAGGTCTCTTTGTTGGATTTCCTTGTGTGTGTCATTTCACTATCCCTTTGTTAACCCTTAAATGTACTGCATGATGCTACTTCTAGCTTGAGTGTGATGAGCATCTCAACTGTGTCAATTTATGTTCCTTAAATCTATTATGCAGAAAATCAGAAAAGTTTTGCAAAATGCAAGTCTAAACTATCAATTTTTCTCAGCCTCTGAATCTTACGTATTCAACTTCACACAGAAAAAAGATTCTTGGTTCCATACAACTATTTCTGGAGCAAGTTGCATGTTGTACTCAAGACAAGGATCTTCTATTTTCTATACTTGACAGGATTTTACTAGAATATATTCTTCTTTGAAATTTACTTTATATTCTTGCACAAGTTCCATATAATCATGAAATACGTATTGCAGATTTTTTAAGGGAGAAGAAAGGCAAGTTATGGAGATTTAACGACTGGGGTCTTCGAAGACTGGCATACAAGATACAGAAAGCCAAGAATGCCCACTACATCTTGATGAACTTTGAGTTAGAAGCCAAATATATTAATGAGTTTAAGACCATGCTAGACAAAGATGAAAGAGTCATTCGACACCTTGTGATAAAGAGGGACAACGCAATCACTGAGGATTGCCCTCCTCCCCCTGAGTTCCACACTTTGCGTGCAGATACGCAAGGTTATGACGATGATGATGAGGACTCAGATTATGACGATGCCTATGATGATGAAGATGAAGATGACACTTGGGATGGTGAAGGTGAAGAGATGGATGGCTATGACGATGTTGAAGATGGTGTTGTTATTGTCAACGTAGATGATGATAATAAAAAACAAAAGAACAATAAATCACCTAATGCAATTGCCCTAGGAGGAAGAAATCTTAGCGCCGAGAAAGTAAGTAGATAGTAGATTATCGACATTTTCGTTTCTGGCTTCATAATAGTATCGACTGTCGATGAATGCTCATAGTTTGTTGCTATGTATAAGCTTGTATGAGAATTAAATTATGACAGTTGAATTTATGCATATTGATCTTCTTAATGTACCACTTCAATTGAATCAGTTCTTTTCCGAGGAAAATGATCGTGTTATTTTCTGGGTTTTGCTGACATTATTCAAGCTGTCTATGATGAGCAAATACTCAGGGCAGAAGCTATTGAATTGAACAAACAAATTGATTATAAAAATATAAGATTATCTCTTCTTATACACTAAACCAATCCATATTTATAATAATCTTCAAATATCTTACTCCCCATCTTTCTTCTCCTGCATAATCCTCAAAATTTATGTTATGCAATGGTATAAAATATTTTTTTATGGCCATATATTATATTTGATATATGGGAATGTCATAAATAATTTTGGCACAAATTGCTGGCCCTTGATTCCCTTTCATTAACCATCAATTATAACCTTGATTTTTGCATTAAACATAAATTAAGAGAAAATCATGGTCTTTCCTATTAAGCTTCATCCATTAAAACATGGGAAGCAACCAAAACTGAAAGAGTTTATTTCAGGGAAGAAATCTGAACTTTCTCATAACCTCTTCATAGATATGGAGGAGTACTTATCCACAGCTTTAATTAGAAAGAACCGTTACAGAATGAAATCCGACTATAACATTACAGCTATTCAGAAATATTATATTCATGCATTTACTTTCAATTTTTTCCCCCTTTAATCTTTGCACAATCTTCTGTGTCCACATCAAGAAGATGTTCCTAAAATTTAGCTTCCTTTTAAGATCAAATAGAGACAGTTTTGGTTTTACCTTTTCAAGATTTCCAGCTCACCATGCAAAGACTATGCCCACTTAAGGACACAATGCTCACTCTACACTATTAATTCTCATCTTCAGAATCAGTAACTGATGAGATTGTATCAACCCCACGTGGCATTTCCATGCTTAGACCAAGCATTTTCATCTTCCAACGTGTCACTCTACACTTTCTTTTCTCTAGTTAACTCTTCAAACTCTCTATATAAACACCCACTTCGGCTAAGACACAACACAAAACAAATACACAGATCTTATAACATTAAGCCAATGGCAATGTATAGTTCTTTCACTCTTTCAGCAATGGTCATTTTGGCCTTGTTTCTTGTTCCAGGCTCATATTCTACCGCTTCAGTACCAGAATCTGATGTTGATCTTCTTGAGTTTCCATTGAATTTAGAGTATTTAGAAGCTGAGTTCTTCTTGTATGGTGCTTTGGGTGTTGGCTTGGACAAGGTTGCTCCAAACTTAACTGTGGGAGGTCCTCCACCCATTGGTGCCCAAAAGGCCAATCTTGACCCTTTCATTAGAGATGTAATCTTGCAATTTGCATGGCAAGAAGTTGGGCACTTGAGGTTATTATATATTTTTTCATAATGCTTTTGTTTTATGCTTTCTGTTTGATGGTTTTTTTTATGTTTTAATTCAAGTGTTACTTTTTATGCAGGGCTATTAAGAACACAGTAAAAGGATTTCCAAGGCCATTGTTGGATTTGAGTCCAAAATCATTTGCAAAAGTGATAAACAAAGCCTTTGGAAAGGATTTGAATCCTCCTTTTGATCCCTATCAAAATAGCATCAATTATCTCATTGCATCTTATGTGATCCCTTATGTTGGTCTCACTGGATATGTTGGTGCAAATCCTAAACTCCAAGGAGCTGTTTCAAAAAGGGTAAGTTTAAAATCCACAAACTTGATCAACTTTAATGAAATCAGAACATTTTATGTTATAATTTTGGCTTATTTTTGTGCACTTTGTATGGTTCTATTCAGCTTGTTGCTGGGCTTTTAGGTGTTGAATCAGGTCAAGATGCAGTTATCAGAGCATTGTTATATGAGAAAGCCTTGGAGACGGTGCATCCATATGATATAACAGTAGCTGAATTCACAAACAGAATTTCAGAACTGAGGAATAAGCTTGGACGGTCAGGATTGAAAGATGAAGGGCTTATTGTTTCAAAGTACCTGGGTGCTGAAGGGAAAATTAGGGGCAATGTGCTGGCTGGTGATGAATTTTCAGTTGCATATGACAGAACTCCAGAGGAAATTTTGAGGATTGTATATGGAAGTGGTCATGAAAATTCCCCTGGAGGTTTCTACCCGAAGGGTGGAAATGGACGTATAGCTAAATCTCATTTACACAGGCTGCTTAAAGAATAAAGCTTAGAATAGGTGTTCTTTTAACTTTTGAGTCAAGTTGAAGTTTATTTGGAGATAAACAAGTATGGAGTTGTTCCCTTCTGCTTAATTTTGCTGCTCTCTTTTTATGGTTATGTAAAGTGCCTGCTTATTGTGCCAATCATATTTCAAATAAGACCACGATTATGCAAATTGCCTGCTTATTGTGCCAATCAATATATCAATTAAGACCAAAAGTGATTTTACATCCTCTTTTTTGTCCGGCTAGCTTTTATGTCTAGACTAGCTTACACAACCCTCAACTAATCCCGGGAGTCTCCTTTCATTATGTGCAATTTGTGAAATGCTTTTGTGGCTTTGACACATTAAAAACTAATTGCAAATCTCTTACTAGTCATCAAATAGGCCACAAAAAAAAAAAAAAAAAAAAAAAAATGCAGGAGAACCTATTCTGTGATTCTTCGTTTTGTGGGATTTTAGACCAATGAGGCCAGAGTTACATCTTCATAGAATTTCAAGGCACATTTTTACAAAGTTGAAATTGCGTTATGTAAAGCATTTGAACAAGCCTATATACAAAGCCAGACAATGAAAGGCAACAATTAATGTTACAACTCCTACACATAAATTGCAAACTACTATAGTAAATCAGAATGAACTACTGTTGAGATGTAATATTAAGCAACAGAATCTGTGCCTGCTGCAACCATACCGCAGAGATCACACAGTGGTTGTTTAGTCATTGAACTGGGGAAAAATCTGCATGCAAGAAAATGGGACAAGTTGATACAAAATCATAGAAGATCTCTTAACATTACAATTCCTTCAATTCAGTGGAGTGTATGGGAATAAGTCTATTAAATTGACGCAGTAATCAGCAAAGGAAAAGGTCAAATTGATAATCTGGCACACACCTGATCCATGTTGGTTTGGAATCATGTCAAGAAAGAGCTTGCAAATGCGTGTGCCCTCTCTACTTTCTACACAACTTTTTGTCTGCAACATAAATTAAAAGAAAGGAATTACAAGTCTGAAGAGGATTGGTGTTTGAATGTAAGAATCAATGCTAAATACTTACTTGCCATGTATCAGATGATTGAAACTGCGTGACGTTGTCCCTCTGCCTTCTCTATAATGGTTGTGCCGATTATAAGCCCAACAAAGAGATCTCACAGAATCCAACATGCAACGAAAAATACAAGCATCTGTTGCATTTTACTTAGAGTGGCAAAATATATCTGTTTGCCGGCTGCGCTTCTGCAGAAACAATCACTTACTTGCGAGCCATGATCTCATCCAGAACATGAACTGGCCCCAAATGACCTAAGTTGCTAAAAAAACACCTAACCAACATATTCCATGTGGCATTGTTGGGACAGAACCCTTCATTTAACATCTTTTGAAGAAAATTGAAGGCCTCTTCTAAGCCAATCCAATTACAGATACCCCATAAGATACTATTGTATGAGATTATTTCTGGATTCCACTCTCCTCGAGCTCTAATTCTATCCAAAAGTTGAATAGCATCCCCAACCTTACCCTGCCTGCAGTAGGCATAAATTAATATGTTGAATGTGATAGCATCGGGTTTTGTCCCTCCAACCAGCATTTTCCCCATAAACTTGAAAGCCTCATCTAACATACCGGCATGACAAAAACCATGCAATATGGTATTATAAGACACAATATTAAGCTCAATCCCACTTTCTTCTATGTCCATGACAAGCTCAAAAGCTTCTTTTAATCTGTTTACTTTGAGAAGGCCATCCAGTAGCTCATTATATGTTGTGATATTAGGCTTACACCTGTATTGCTTCATTTGATCAAGGACTTTCATTGCCCAGTCTTCTCTTCCACAGCCGCATAATCCTTTGATAAATGTATTGAAAGTAATTGTATTAGGAGGACAATTTTCCAAAGCCATTTTTTCTATCAGAGAATGAGCTTGGTTAAACATAGAATTCCTACAAAGGATACCCACCATGCAGGTATATGCCACAACATTAGGAGAACAACCGTTACTTATCATCCTGTTCCATGTCTCAGATGCACCAACCAAATTTCCAGCTTTTGCAAATCCATCAATTAGAGCACTATATGTAGTCACGTTTGGGTGGCAGCCCTTTTTCTCCATCTGATAGGATACAGATACAGCCTCATCCATATTCCCACTGGTGCACAGACCATGTATTAGGGTATTATAAGCAACAATATTGGGCATGAATCCCTCTCTAGCCATTCGCTTCCACAAGTCAAGAGCTTCATACAATCTTCTTCCAAGTAAATAGCCCTTCAGCAAGGAAGTAAAACTGTGGATATTAGGACTACACCCTCTCACAAACATCTGACCTAAAACAGCAAGAGACAGTTCAACATTCCCAATATCAGACAAAGAGTTGATAATTGTTGAATATGTGATAACATTAGGATCAATTCCTCTATCCACCATCTCATCTAACAAAAAAAAGGCCTCCTCAATTTTGCATTCTTTACACAACCCATTAACCAAAGCATTATAAACACTCACAATAGGTTCAAATCTCACTGCAAGCTCCCTCGCTTCCTCCACCTTACCAGCCTTACACATCGAAGACACTATAGTAGTATAACTCACCGCATCAGGAGAACACCCCTTGTTCGCCATCTCAGCAAGCAATTTACAAGCACCATCAATCCTATTATTCTTACACAACGCCTTCAAAAGAATATTATACGTAAACACATTTGGCTCCATCCCATCTCTCTTCATATTACTATATATCGGATTAATCATCGAAAACTTGTTCTTACTAAGCAATACATCCAAAATATGATTATAAATCTTAACACTCGGTTTGCACCCAAATTCCCTTATCCTATAAAACATCTTCAACGCTTGCTCAGCCACCCCCACTCGCCGATAACAACTTATGACACTAATAAAAATATCCTCAGAGCAGCTAATTCCTTCTAGCTTCATCTGTTGTAAAAGATACTGAACACCATCTATTTCACATTTTTGACCAAGTTTCTCGATCATAACTTGGTATGTTAAAGCGGTGTGCTTAAATGAGTTTGAGTTAGCTACCGATTTGAAGTAGTTTAAAGCTAGTGCAATGTTGGGTTCCTGTTTCAATCTGTTGATCACTTGAAATTCTTCAACATGGGTTTGTTTTTTCTGGGTTTGGTTGTCATTTTTGTTAATATTATTAGGCTTCAAGATTGGGTTTGTGTTTAGGACAAAAGGAATTGATGGTTTATGAACTTTTAACAGTAAAGAACACCCTTCTTTCAAATACATTATTATTGGTTTTTATGAAAAAAAAACAAAAACCTTTAAAGTTCAGGACTGAAAATCAAGAACTCTTAAGCTAAAACCTTGAGAAAATGAAACAAAACTAAAATTAAGGATTGCGTACCTCATGAATCAAATACTTTTGAAGACGCTGGTAACACACAGACGAGGACCAAAGCAGGAAGAGGAAGAAATAGTGGGAGCAGCAACGGCGTCGTTTAATCAAACAATAAAATACCTGGCCCATTGAGATGTGCTTCTTAAATCCAAACAAATTCGGGCCTGAGGCTATCGGGGCATTATATATCAAAAACGAAGGCCCAAGCCCATATACAATGTATACAAAACAAATATGTAAATCCGGGCCTGAGGCTAGAGGCCCATAAGATATCAAAATAAAGGCCCAAGCCCGTAATAGTGGATACAAAACAAAGATATAAAACCAGAGAGTCGATTTTCAGTAGCAGAGCGAAGTGAAGAAAGTCTCTCGTCTTCTCCGATTGTTTGGGTAAAAATTTGTTTGTTTGTTTATTATGAATTATGATCTTATTATCTGTTTCTGTTTTCTTTTTTTGTTTCTGTTTTTGCTCAGCTAATTCGTTTTTCACTGAATCCAAAACTTCAGAATTCTCAGATCTATTTCATAGTTTATGGCTTAATAATCGCTTGAACTTTGTCCTAAGTAAGAAAATTCGGATACTTTGGTGAAGGTTAGGTTTTGAAGTGCATTAGCTGTGCCTCTTTCATGTCGATTTGATGTTCTTTAGATTTTTTTTTCTATGGTGCTTTGACTGATTCACAGGTTCTACAGGCTCCGTATTAATCTTTGATTCGTTTATGTGCTTACTATTTGGATTTTAGAGGCTGTAATGTTGATATCTGAAGTGTGTTTCTGGTTTTGCGTTGCTCTTGAATTTAAATTTTGGGTTTTTCACGTTATGATCAATGCATCTGAAATAAAGTTTATGGAATTTTAACTGTTGGCGTTTTGATTATCTTTCTCGTATGCATTAGTTTTATCAAAGGTTTTTATTTATACAGAATTCTTCTTTTCAGCTTCTGTGGTGGTATTGTAATACCATTAGAGTTAGGTGTGAATTTATTATTTGAAGTGAGGACTTTTGTAAAGTGTGAATCTAGTTTATGATAGTGTGATTTATATAAAGTTTATAGATGGTTTGTTCACTTTTGTTTTCTTTTTCTTTGTTTGGTTATCAACTAGGCAAAAAATATGGCGGGGCATGCTGATTCGGGTAGATTGGGAAAGAAATCAAGTGAGGCCGCTGATGAGTTGCACACCTTCAATGCTGAGAATATGCAGAGTAACATGAAAATTATATATTACAGGTTTGTATTATATCCTTGGAAGGAAAGAGAGTCATTCATGTTGACATTATAGAAAACAGAGTTGTGACTAGATACCAAACCCACAGGATTATGCACGTAGAAAATTTATGAGTCAATGGTGTTTAATACTCTTCAAAGTTTCAGGTTTATTTGGAGATTTGTGCTGATGCAATTCAAAATTGGTGGTTGATCGTATTTTCCTTGTGTGAATTGAAATTATGTGTGGGGTCTGTATGTGGGAGAGAGATTAGAATTCTTTAAAATTGGCTTTAACACCTTGAGAGGTGTCTAAACAAATGTTCAATGGATCACAGGTCTCATGGCTATTGATTGAGTTAGTGATTACTGTATCAGGATATTAAAAGATTCATCACGCATATCATGCAGGACATGATCTATGTTGGTGCTGAAACCTAACCAGGTTTTTTTTTATTGCAGCCGCACATTTTTATCAATCATTGGTGGGGTCATTGCCGGAATCTTGGGATTCACCGGCCTCACTGGGTTCGTTTTTTATTTTCTTATCATGGCAATTGCTTCTGTTGGACTCATAGCCAAGGCAAAATTTTCAATCCATTCATACTTTGACTGCTGGAACCGGATTTTACTTGATGGCTTCACGGGTGGCCTTCTGGTACACTTCTCTACCTTCTGTTAAGTTTTTTTTTTTTTGTTTTTTTTTTTCTAAAAGAATTTAAACTCGTTTGTGTAGGGCTTTCCCTTTTAATAGCAATTTTATGTATTGTGAATAGTTTACTTTCAGAAATGACTGCTTTTTGTTTTTATGTTCCTTCTCTTTATGAAGAAATGGTTTTAGGATCAACTGAAATGTTCTTGTCTCTTATATTTTCCCGGAACAATGATGGACAACTATAAACTGTTTTGCATGTTTCCAGCCACAAATCCTTTATCAGATTTATTTAATTATTAAAGCGGACTAACTTTCTATTTATATATTTTTGCAGTCGTTTGTGCTGTTCTGGACGTATCCTTTCAAATAATTAAAGCAGTTAATAGCAGAAACCTTAATTGTTACACGGTAAATTAAATTGGTAGATAGCATGGTTTTCCTTGAATGATGTTTCCCTGAGCTTTCTGATATCTCCCTCATTTGTTATTTTAGTCATTCGTTTGAAACCCAGTTCATTCTTGGAGCATCCTGTTCAAGCCCTTCAATTTGTGGCATTCATACCTCAACATGTTTATTATTTTGTCGCATCATCATTTCAATTGCATAACCAAAGGTGTTGAAGAGTGAATTATTAAGCTAATCTTAAGATATTAATTTGATTTATTAGTTCTCACCACCGTTTTTGTGTTTAGCTGTTTCCTTACATAAAATACCAGATTTGCTTATGACATCGTGCATATTTTCTAAAGAACTACGTGCAATATCTTGAACGGATGGGAAGCTCTGCAGCGGCTGCTCGCAGCTGACATATCCGCATAACCCAGGAGTTTGAAAATGTGATGACTTTTGTACCTATTTATAAACTTATCTTTTTTCATTATATTTTTGGGCTGGAGAAACATTCTGGGCCACTTTGTTGTTACTCCAAACTGGTAATGTTTGTACCAAGCTGCGTTTTATTTAGATTACTTGAGGAAAGAGGAAAAAGAAATCAATCTTTGAAACGTTGAGGTTGTATATTTAATGCTGACTTGAGAGTGAAAATTTTCATCCCTTTTTATCAATTTATGCCCTCTGTGATGTTTGCGAGGTGAAAGAAAATTTAAATGGCACTATGCAAGTTCTATCAAGTGGTTATTTATCATAAGCAACTTATCTAACCTATTAGGTTTATAAGGTGTTTAATAAATCTCGGATTAGTTGAGATACATGTAAATTAACTCAAACACTGGGTCACCAAAAAAAAATAATAGTAGAAACATGCTCAAAAAATGCTTAATTCAAAACTACGAGGATTGATAGAGGTCTGATGATGACCAGCCAAATGTATCAGTACGTTTTTGTTTTTTTACTCTGGTCAGTGCAACAGCTTCATTCTAATGGATGCAGATAAAAGAAATAAATTTGAATGCTATATCATACTCCTGATCACTGTAGTGGTACAAGAAACATGACAAGAACCCCTCACAATTTAGAGAGGTTATATCGAACTTTTCCTATATAATAGACGTCTCAATTTCAAACACTATAGGCATTATCAACTTTTACATTATCAACCTGGTGAACTCACCAAAGAATCCATTTTGCAGTTTGGTTTCTCATACTTCCCGTGGAAAATAGTCGTTCCATCGACTCCGAGAGCAGAAGCTTGCACCCTTAATACTAGTTTTCTACACCATATTCTCACACCTGTTAAGTAAGAAAATATATCAGCAGAACTGCCGTTTGCAGAGATAAACCATACCTAAAATAGCAGACTGTTAATGGAAGTTTTCGTCTTCAAACTAAATCTATCACTGTGAATCTCAGTTCATGTGTTTGGAATATCCATGCTCAACTACTGTGTTTTTATATATTAGGCAAATATACTTAACACCGAGCTGAAAACTCCAAAAAAGAACAGCTGTTAATAAATTTTGAAGAATAAATCTTACCAACATCTGAGGAATTCTCAAGAAGACAAAAGACACAGAATATAAAACACTGGCGATTATAGCAGCTGTAACCACATTGTAGAGGAGGCGCTTGTCATCTTTACCGGGCACAAATGCTATTTTTAAAGTATTTGTCAGCTCAAATAATCTGTAAGAAACCTGCAACCGAAGCAAAAATTTCAATACAAAAAGGGATGCTATGTACTTTCAAGATTTTAAACTATAACTTTGTTCACTTACAGCAACATATATGGCAGTGGTGAGCATAAAGTTCAACATTGGGTAATCAGGGATCAGTGAAAGCAACAATTTAGGTTGTCCATCAGGAACTGCCGATCTGCAAGTCATTGGAAATTATATGAAGAAAACAAAATCTATAAATCAAAATTGTACAAATGTAAATTCATTGCATCAATTAACAATGGAAAAACCATAAATACACTAGCAACCATTTACAAGTCAGCTTTAGCATACCTTAACCAGATATGGAACTGTGAGATGTACGTCTCCAGTGTTACCTTTCCAAGCCATCTAGTAAATAGAAGGCAATATATCAAACAAAAAAGGTCATCTGAAGGTATATATATCAGAATGACACAACTTCTGTATAAGTGAATTAAAAAAAAGGGGATATAAATACAGTGCATAATTTAAAGGTCACTTACGCAAAGAGGGTCAAGCTGTAGCTACGGAAAGACTGTGTGAGGTTTCGCAAACAAATATAGACACTGATCAAAAGAATAAATGAAACACGGTTAAATAATGTTCATCTTTTGAATATTTGATATACACAGAGATGAAAGTGACATACGTTANACCAGCCAAATGTATCAGTACGTTTTTGTTTTTCTACTCTGGTCAGTGCAACAGCTTCATTCTAATGGATGCAGATAAAAGAAATAAATTTGAATGCTATATCATACTCCTGATCACAGTAGTGGTACAAGAAAGATGACAAGAACCCCTCACAATTTAGAGAGGTTATATCGAACTTTTCCTATATAATAGATGTCTCAATTTCAAACACTATAGGCATTATCAACTTTTACATTATCAACCTGGTGAACTCACCAATGAATCCATTTTGCAGTTTGGTTTCTCGAACTTCCCGTGGAAAATAGTCGTTCCATCGACTCCGAGAGCAGAAGCTTGCACCCTTAATACTAGTTTTCTACACCATATTCTCACACCTGTTAAGTAAGAAAATATATCAGCAGAACTGCCGTTTGCAGAGATAAACCATACCTAAAATAGCAGACTGTTAATGGAAGTTTTCGTCTTCAAACTAAATCTATCACTGTGAATCTCAGTTCATGTGTTTGGAATATCCACGCTCAACTACTGTGTTTTTATATATTAGGCAAATACACTTAACACCGAGCTGAAAACTCCAAAAAAGAACAGCTGTTAATAAATTTTGAAGAATAAATCTTACCAACATCTGAGGAATTCTCAGGAAGACAAAAGACAGAGAATATAAAACACTGGCGATTATAGCAGCTGTAACCACGTTGTAGAGGAGGCGCTTGTCATCTTTACCGGGCACAAATGCTATTTTTAAAGTATTTGTCAGCTCAAATAATCTGTAAGAAACCTGCAACCGAAGCAAAAAAATCAATACAAAAAGGGATGATATGAATTTTCAAGATTTTAAACTATAACTTTCTTCACTTACAGCAACATATATGGCAGTGGTGAGCATAAAGTTCAACATTGGGTAATCAGGGATCAGTGAAAGCAACAATTTAGGTTGTCCATCAGGAACTGCCGATCTGCAAGTCATTGGAAATTATATGAAGAAAACAAAATCTATAAATCAAAATTGTACAAATGTAAATTCATTGCATCAATTAACAATGGAAAAACCATAAATACACTAGCAACCATTTACAAGTCAGCTTCAGCATACCTTAACCAGATATGGAACTGTGAGATGTACGTCTCCAGTGTTACCTTTCCAAGCCATCTAGTAAACAGAAGGCAATATATCAAACAAAAAAGGTCATCTGAAGGTATATATATCAGAATGACACAACTTCTGTATAAGTGAATTAAAAAAAAGGGGATATAAATACAGTGCATAATTTAAAGGTCACTTACGCAAAGAGGGTCAAGCTGTAGCTACGGAAAGACTGTGTGAGGTTTCGCAAACAAATATAGACACTGATCGAAAGAATAAATGAAACACGGTTAAATAATGTTCATCTTTTGAATATTTGATATACACAGAGATGAAAGTGACATACGTTATTGGAATCCACGAGGTATAAGGATGATACTTGTTGTAAGTAATCTTATCCAGTTTGTATACATACTCGAACCAGATGAATCCAACCTAGAAATTGAATAGGAACTGTTTGCATCAGCAATGGAATTTAAAAATAATAATAATAAAGAATAAAAAATAAAAAATTAATACATTTTAATAAAAATAGAGAAATTCAATACCGCAAGGGCCAATAGTCCAACAGCCGTTTTAATTGATATTCGGCGCTTCACTTCTGTTTCCTCTAGTTTCTCCATCCACCTTTCAACCTGTAATAACATTTAATAATATTTAGGTCTTGGCACAGAAAGACAAATCCAGAGAGATCTTTCAAGTAGCCATTACTACATCAAACATAAACTTTGCATTAACTTGATTTTTATTTTCCTTTTTCTTTATGACATAGAATATCATCAAGACTTACTGTTGGATGATAGTATGCATATATCATCCCAACTATCCATATGTAACGATCAAGCCCTGAGCGGAAATGCCACTCATGCAAGACAGGCAACGTGGGCTTGGCTGGGTCAGTATAACCTGCAACACTTGAAGATAACAAGTTTAGTGAGACCTCCAATGTTTTAACTAGGAAAAAAGCTAGGGAATGTTACTAACCAACAAGGAAAGTAAATGGGCTCCACAGCAATTCGAACACTCCAGGTACTTCCCAGACTATAATAACCACCAAGAAGCAGGCAATAATTTTTACAGCAATGACCGACCCAATCTCATTATACTTGTTCAGAATACCAAGTGCGCCATAAACCATGAGAGTAAACAAAGTGTGCATTGGGCAAATGTAATACAGCATGTAACTGTTGTTAAGGACGACGCAGCAAAATATGACCAGGAAATTAAGCCTCCACATCATCTGCTCAACACAATAAGTTTGAAGCACTTTACCAATAGACATAACTAAAACAAGCAATCTTAGACATTTAAAGCTACATACCTGTGCAAACCTTGCAAGACTGAAATCTTTGCGTATATAATAATATGAGAAGTTCCCAAATCCAGTCATCCACACATAAGCAGCAATAAACATTCGGATTGCATTGTAAATTTCTGTTGCAGCAAAGTAATGGTACATCAAAAACAACACCTGTAAGATAAGTAGAAAGAGTAAGACCACCTATTTATGGTTGGGCAACATGACATGCTAGTAGCATATGCCAAAAGTGTTTTCCACAATTGGATGTGAATAACTTTTTTGATCTTTTTTCAAATTAGAAATCACAGGATCAAGCAAAGAAAACCAAGCAAACTACAAAAGTTGGAAGAGTGCTTCAGCAAATAGTGTTACAGCAGATAACAGATATTGAACATTGTGCCCAAAGAAACTAGTCAAGGATACAATTGAAGTATTCCAGCCAAGAATGAAGCATATCAACTATATCATCCAATATAAATAGATAAGCATAAGCAAATGTGTGTGAAGTGACAAACCTGCATCCAACCTTTCCACTCCTCAGTTTGATGTCTATTCAAATAGAGTATGGACTTCCCCGAGAATGGTGACTTATCATGATGTATCTTGAAAGAAGTTATTGCAGAAACTATGATGAGAAGGAAGTAGAGAAATATGAAAAGATCCCGATTGTAACTCTGCACAGACAGATGATGGTTTAGGTTAAGGAACGAATGCAAAATAAAAATTTAAAAGGAATAAACTAAATCCAAAAGTTTACTAGCTTATATAATTGTGAAGTAATCAAAGCATCATATAGACAATTAGACACGAATTCAAACACATCTAAGAAAATTACTCCATTGAATTGAAAAGATCATTGTTGAATATTCTTGTCGAGTGTTTAAAACTTACCATTTATATTGATTTGCAACTTCAACATTCCTCAAACGACTAAAATTTTCTTTAACCACATGAACCAAGAACTACCAAACTCTCACACTAAGGATTCCTACAAAGAAAATAATAAGATAAACTTATCAGTGTCACCTTTTTTGCTGACCCAAAGACGTCCGTCCGGTCACATATGTAAAAGTAAGCCAAAAGGACACCAAATTCAGATCTGTTACAAGGAAAACAGTGAAAATAATAGGCGAATCACAATCTAATTGTAGGCACTAATAACAACAACAAATAATAATAATAAATATAACTCAGTGTACTAATATCCACTTACATAGCTCTAAGCGTGAGACGATTTTCGATCAAGAATGACTCTTCCATCATAAGGAATCTAAACAAGTACAATTCTCATAAGCTAAAAATAAACTAAATAATCAATCAACTACGTAAAGAATCCATGCCATCAAACGAACCTGAAGATAGGAGAAGATGCAGACGAACTCCGAGCTTTCGGAGACGCTGACTGCAATCCTCCGCCTTCTAGAAGAACCGCTTTGTCATCTTCCTTCACCGTCTCATCTCCAACTCCCAATTCATCCAAACTGACATCAGAGTGCCTACTAAACTCGCAATTTAGTAAAAAATAAAAAAGATTTTTTAATTCAACAATATAAGCTGTTGAACTTACACTTTGCTCGGCAATAATTTTTTTTTGTACTCTAAATATTCTGAATAAATCCATGCTGCAAACACGGTGACTATTCCGATGAAAAACGAAACCTGCAATTCATTAAACAGATGTTAACTGTAATTAAGTGAGATCTGGAAGCAAATGAAGCTCTAAACGACGGCGCATTGGTACCTGGCCGGGAGTGACAGGACTGGAGATCGTCATTTTTGGCAAATCAAAAGAACACTACTAAACCAACGCGCATTTCACTGAAACTTTCAAATCCTGATCGGATCTGATAAAAATCTATGTCAGATAAATCGACGGCCGAGATTTGAACAGAATCTATCAAAAACCAACTCTAAATGCAAAAAGAATTTAGATTAGAGCGGTTCGTTGGGAAACCTGTGTTTGTTACCATTTATGAAAGTGGTGTTTCTGCCAACTTTGATTATTATTATTATTTTCAAGTTCAGTTGGGTCCCAGATGTTTTAACACCGTTGGATTGATGTTTCATGTGCTGCATTGTGGGTGATTATGATACTGATGCGTCGCAGCGAATCGGGATTTTTTTTTTTTTTTTTTTTTTAGTAATTTGTAGAGTAGAGTGGCGGATGAGAGATAATGACGTGGCAACCTCTTTAGTTTTAATTCCTTGTGATTAATAATTTCGAATTAAAGAGTTGTAAGCCTCTAATTGAGATTAAGACAAACAAGGATGGGGGAGGGATAAGCTATGTGCGAGCCCAGGGACTTTTGGGTTGATGAGACACGGGTCAAGAGATCTGACTATCTTGGTCAATGAGCTGTCGGCAACTTTTGAACGCGCGTGCGTGTTGATCTCACCGACACCGGTGACTTCTAATGCTGATGTAACTCCAAGTCCAACCCTCCATTTATGGCAGCACATCCTCATATTATCGGGCCTTAAAACTTTTTGAGTCTTTAAATTTTCATGTGGACCTCCTGGTATGCTCCGTATTGAGCCTTATGTGGCCCAAATATAGTGCTTATCTGCTTATTTATGTTGGCCGAAAAGAATTCAATGTAATGTCTAAGAGGTTTTCGTGAAAGGGCATGTCCCATTTGCGAATTACAGGTTATAAGAGAAAGTTTACGGGATTGAATTATAAGTGTAGTATTATCTTTAATCAAGTAAACTCTTTTATATAATAGAATAATTTTTTTTAATGATTAGGGGTGTCTTGGCTAGCGTGTATATGCCTCAATTAATTCTCTAAGACCTTGAAACTATCGTTTGGTAAGAGCTCTAGTAACCACTTTTATTAACAGTTGTGGGGACTCAAACTCAAGAGATCATATCAGATCTTCTTCTTACTCTTTTATCGTTAAGTGAACTCAAATTTGGGAGATCATATTAGATAATTCTTTGTTCTTTTACCATCCGACCATCTAACGGTATGAGTTCTACTTGTCCAGCAATAGATTCCATTTGATTAAATCAATGTGAGTTATCACATGGGTTAATAAGAGATGTTTGTGAGATTACTATTAGTGCTAGCGGTATACAGCATAACAATTGGATGTCTGTCTCTTGGTCCAAGCATGTTCTGAAACTGGCCCATATATACAGCTTATATATGTTTATCTCACAGTTGACATAAGATGATTCCATTGGAAGCTCAGAAAACATACATAAATACGTTAAGGGTACCCTATAAAGTACACTTTTGCATACAAAATTTCAAAAAGATAATTTTTATAATTAAAAACAGTAAATGGGTTATGGGCGGCGATACAATACAAGGCTAACTTTCATCATGTGCTCCTTATAATTCATCACACAATTATTGCTTCCTTCTCTGCCTGTCTCTCTTTTTCTCTTTTAGTACTTTTATCGAACACTTATACCTCAAACTAATTGACAGACTTTTACTCTCTCACACACAATGTCGCTGAGGCCAACTTCTCGAACTGAAGTGCGGAAGAAAGCATACAAAAGTGGGGTCGATGCAGAGGACGCTCGTCGAAGAAGAGGGGACAATTTGGTGGAGATAAGGAAGAATAAAAGAGAAGATAGTCTTTTGAAGAAACGAAGAGAGGGACTTGTTCTTCAGTCTCAGCCTTTAACTGAAAGCAATGCTTCTATGGAGAAAAAGGTGGGTTTTTACACTGTTTCTTGATCTGGGTTTTCTTTGTTTTTTGATATTGTTGAATGTTTCTGCTCAAGTTTATGTTTTGTTGTTCGCTGAGCATTTGTGGGAAAGAGTAAAAATTGGGAATTTAAGTTGCTTAGAGTGTCAACAAGATATTTTGAAGTGTTAATTGTCCATGTAGATTATAATCTTCTTTTTCTCAGAAACAATTTAATGGGTTAGTGGAAATCCTGGAGCTGTTCTTTTGTCAGAGTTTTGATAGAAATGTAGTTGAGTTTAGGACTTACTTGGCTATAATTGATTCATGTAAACTTCTAATTTGTATTGATGACTACAGTTGGAGAGTATACCTTCAATGGTGCAAGGAGTATCATCTGATAATCCTGCCTCACAATTGGAAGCCACCACTCAATTCAGAAAGCTGTTATCAATTGGTGTGTGCATTTTTTGTTTTTCTTTTGATAGAGTGTTTTCATAATTGTATCCAGTTGGTAAAAGGTGTTAACATGTGTTTGTGCAGAGCGTTGCCCCCCAATCGAGGAGGTAATCAGAGCAGGTGTTGTGCCTCGGTTTGTGGAGTTTCTTGATAGGCATGATGTACCTCAACTGCAAGTATGGGATTCTGGTGGAGCTTGTTTCAGTTATTTTTCAATTGTATTTTTGTTTGCTATGCCCCAGAATTTATATACTCAACTTACCATCAGGTTTTGTGTTTTATTCTTCATCTCTAGTTTGAGGCAGCATGGGCTTTGACCAACATTGCATCTGGTACATCAGAGCATACGCGAGTTGTTATTGATCATGGTGCTGTGCCTAAGTTTGTGCAACTCTTGGGTTCTTCAAGTGATGATGTTCGAGAACAGGTGTCTACTACTTAGCTTTTATTTTGTAACTTTTTAATCTACCATTAATTCATCTTGGAAGGTGTATAACCTTTTATTTAACCGCATTCTCCATCAATTGCACAGGCTGTATGGGCATTGGGCAATGTTGCAGGTGACTCCCCAAGTTGTAGAGATCTTGTTCTTAGTCATGGCGCATTAATGCCATTACTGGCTCAGTTGAATGAGCACTCAAAACTGTCTATGCTAAGGAATGCTACTTGGACTTTATCGAACTTCTGCCGTGGCAAGCCACCGGCACCATTTGACCAGGTGCAGTGACAGTTATGATCTTTTTTGTGTTCAAACAATAAACCTTACTTTCTCTTTTTAATTGGGTAATGTTACACCGGACAATGGAGCACAAGATCATGATTAATAATATTTGTTCTTCTCATTCAGGTGAAACCTGCATTGGTAGCCCTACGGCACCTGATCTTCTCAACTGATGAAGAAGTTCTGACTGATGCTTGCTGGGCCCTTTCATATCTTTCTGATGGCACAAATGATAAGATTCAGGCTGTAATTGAGGCTGGTGTTTGTCCACGGCTTGTGGAGCTTCTCCTGTAAGATGCCTTCTATTGAAATCATTTCTCTTCTCAATGCCACCTTTCCTTCATCTTAATATAATAGGTTAAAATTTTTTAAAAAGAGAACTATTGAGTTGGTGTTCTCTTTCTTTATGGAGCCATTTACCTAGATGGGTTGAATGGTTAGAGTTAAATAGGTTTTGCGCAATTCCGTAGGTGGAATAGAGAGCTTTGGTTTGTTGGTGTTTTATGTTTTATGTTATGGCATCTTTTAGGTTAGTATTGCTAATTTGTGTCTGTTCTCATCTCATGCAGTCATCCATCACCAACAGTCCTTGTGCCTGCTCTTCGAACTGTAGGGAACATAGTTACGGGTGATGATACTCAAACTCAGGTATCTATTTCACATCGTGAGAATTTATCACATTCTTAGATGTGCCTGATGGAAAACCAAGTGATTTTGGACTCTATGAAACTTAGTTTTGGGAAGGAGTTAGGGGGAAAAAAAATATATTTAAAACCGTCTTCCTTAATCCAGTTTTAAATAAGTTGTGGAATAAAGAAAAATAGCTAGAATGCAAAGACTGTTTGGGAGTTGAATACTTCCATCCTTTTTTCATGAACATGTGTGTCATGTTAGAAATATTCTTTAAGCATATAATAGCTGTTGCATTAAGTGGACTTATATATATATATTTTATATTAATGTTTACATCCTCTTGTTGTTATTACCAAGGTTAAATTCTGAAATAAAATTTTTCAGTGTATAATCGACCACCAAGGGCTGCCTTGTCTCTACCAACTTCTTACACAAAACTACAAGAAGAGCATTAAGAAAGAAGCCTGTTGGACGATTTCAAACATAACAGCCGGAAGTAAAAGTCAAATACAGGTAACATGCAGAATCATTTTTTGTGCATCTTTTATGTTATCAAAAAATTATGCACTAAGGGCCTTGTTATGAGTTCATTACTCATGGCTATCATGGCCATTTAATCACAACTATACTGATTAGTGAAGATAATTTGTAGACTCTACCAAATTTCTTGGATTTTTTTGCCTGTGCTATTCTAAAAACTCCAAATTTGAGAAGTTGCACATACTGTATAATGACTAATTCTTACTTTCTCTGCAACAGGCTGTTATTGAGGCAAACATAATTGCACCTCTTGTACACCTGCTTCAAAATGCTGAATTTGAAGTCAAGAAGGAAGCTGCATGGGCTATTTCCAATGCCACGTCTGGAGGTTCAAGAGAACAGATTCAGTATGCTTTTGCTTGCTTCCTCCACTCTCATATATGTTTTTCGTTGAATATGTTGTAATATCTTTGCCTATAACGTTAATATATATATATATATATCTTTGCCTATAACGTTCCTAAATATATATATATATATTAACGTTTTATGATTTCTGCAGATTCTTGGTAAATCAAGGCTGTATCAAACCACTCTGCGATCTCCTAGTCTGCCCTGATCCAAGGATTGTGACAGTGTGCCTTGAGGGCCTTGAAAACATTCTAAAGATCGGCGAGGCTGACAAAGAAGCGGGAAATACCGCGGTCAACATCTATTCGGAAATGATTGATGAATGCGACGGATTGGATAAAATTGAGAACCTGCAGAGCCACGACAACAACGAGATCTATGAGAAAGCTGTTAAGATTTTAGAGAGGTATTGGGTAGAGGAAGAAGAGGAGCAAAATCTTCAAGATGGTACCAACAACCAGGACCAGGAGTTCAATTTTGGAACTGGCCAGCCTAACATTCCCTCTGAGGGATTTAAATTTTAATTTAGTTGAAATACTGGTGTTTCCTTTTTTCACGCTATCTATTTATTCCTTTTATGTTCTGTATTTGCGGCTCAGTTTTTGTGGGGGTGGGCGGGCCTTACTTGTGTGAATTTTATTCGACAATGTAATCTTTAATTTATCCTTTTATTTCCTTTCGAATAGGAAAGTTTAATCTAATGTTATTATATGCTCTTAGCCTAGACTTCACCCGAATCTTAGGGTCCAAGCCCAAGTTATAACCGTCCAACCACGTGTCTGCCATTGGCTTTGACGTCATCTCATGGGGCTTCTAGATAAAGTTTTCAAAGATTTAATTGCTATTGTCACGGAAGATTCCAGGATTTGGATGAGATTGCCAGCTCACTTTATCATCATCACATTATCAGGCTGTTTGCGTGACGCGTCAACGTCTGTCATTTTCCTTTCCTCACCACCAACCGCCGAGAAAATGCCATCTGTCAAATGATGAAATCAACCGAAAATCTCATTAGTAGAGCCTAAAAAATAAAAAATAAATACATATACTGACGAAAATAACCTCAAACTAGAATATTATGGATGTATTGCTGCCGACTTTGTTACAAGGATAGCATAGTAATATAATTTTACCAAAACAGAGCATGTGCATTAACGGGTCCCATTACCCACTAACTGAAGAAGAAAGAAGGGTTACTTCAGGAATAAAAAAATGATGAGATAATTTCCCCATTCTTTGCATCTGTCGCATCATTTTAGGTTTGTTTACTTCGCAAAACAGGATTTTCGTACTGGCACTCGTCTATCACACTGTTAAAATTGTTGCCAAATTTTTTTGTTCTTGCTCGTTAAATTACTGCCATCCGAGTGGTCAAATGCAATAATAAAGGGCTCAAACATCAGTCCAAGCTTGGAGACCAAAACCCAGTCCAGCCCCCGAGGGCCAGGCTAAACAAAAAATTATATGGGTGTAGTCCATGATATGATATCCATAGCTTTGCCCAATTGAAGTGATAAAACTCATCAGTTTATTTTCTTTAATGAAGACTGAAGTTGAAATTTGACGAATCCCAAGGCACCAACCATTCAGAATGTCAGTAAAGGACAACAAAGAAGTTAAAGTAATACAAGGACCCTATCTAGAAATCTGCAGTAAAACCTAACAGATGAAAGTTTTGAAGAGTCTACAACTTATCTAAGGATCATAACTTACACAAATTCTAAACCAGCTGTTTCAGATAGTTTTTCACAAACACCGCAACATAAACTATGCATTACCCAAATGAAACATATAACCTAAAATAGTAATCAGGATGATGATAATACAGGATCGAAAAACACAATCATCCTATCCTTCTTTCTACAGAAAGGAGATGGATTTAAGATAGAGGTAGAGAGATTGACCTATATGTCAATGGTCAGTCCTCAAACCAAGACGGGGCCCAGCCCTATCGCTTGGATGGTCTCTCATCATCCTCTCCACCATCATCATCGTCGTCGTCTGAATCATCCCTATCTGTTCTTTTCCTTTTAGGTGGAGCCTCAACCTTTCCGGCACCCTCGTCATCTTCATCGTCTTCCTCTTCATTGATTTCTTCATCATCACCGTTCTCTACTGGTTCGAAATCACTGGCATCTTCCTCGTCTTCAGGACGACCAACTGGCCGGACGAGGTATTCGGTTCCTAGATCCTCCTACATACAGATATACTTATACGTAAAATGACACTAAAGGAAGAGGACAGAATCAATCATATACACAAAATACAAGGGACCATGTATAAAAATAATGACGAAAAATAAAAATTGAAAATTTCTTTGAATATAAATCTGATTTACAGTAAAATTTCACATGGAAAAACGACTTTTAATGTCAATAACAAATGAATAGAATAAAAAGCCTTCAGACCCAAATCATTAAATAGCATGAACAGACAACCAGCTCCACCTTTACAGAAAGGTCAAAAGAAAAATATGAAGGAGCCCAAGTGTCTTTAAATAAACTACACCTAAAGCCCTAAAGATTTTAGGTAATAAAATTGTCCATCCAATTTATACACCAAACCCTGCAACTATGTGCATAACCGAAAAAAAACAATCAAAATTCAAAATCAAGCAGCTGGGCTTTCAACCTTGAGACAGACACAACAACCAGGATACTGTTTACAAAGATTAAAAACAAACTAAAATTGAACAAAAAAAACTGTTATTTTACAGATCATCAAAAGAACAAAGTATCCTCCTTAGATCTGATCATATTTCTTACTTAAATCTCATGATTCATACAAACGGAACAAAAAGAAACAGATCTAAAAGTACAACACGTACAAACTAAAGATCCGTCAATTTGTTTTTCATATTTACCACAAAATCAAGGTATAAACAAGCAGATCTGATATATTTCCACAGGCAAAATACTCAGAAATATTACTAAAAATAAACAAATAAACTAAGCATAGACTGAGCACAAAATTAAGGGAGATTTTTTTACCTCTTCTCCACAGTCCTCGTCGTCGTCGTTATTCTCGTCATCGTCGTCGTCGTCATCGTCGTCATCGTCTCCGTCACCGTCATCATCCTCGTCGTCATCGTCGTCATCTTCATCGTCTTCCTCATCATCAGCTGAATGAACCGGCGGTCCACTAGTTGAGTGCAAAACCTGCACTTCATCATCATCATCTACTTCCTCTTCATCTTCGTCGTCGTCGTCGTCGTCATCGTCGTCATCTTCGTCGTCATCGTTATCTCCGTCTTCTTCTTCCTCTACACCATCTTTTGTCTCAGTCTCCGTCTCTTCTTCGCTTCCTTCACTCAAGAGAATTATATCTTCCTCTTCTTCAATCTCCGGTAGAATTTTCTTCTCTTCTTCCATGTTCAAAGCTTGCACAAACTTTCTCGAGAAAAAATTAAATTTTTATTTTTTCAAGGAAAAAATTTGGAAAACAGGGGAAGAGAGGCGAGGATAGGAGCTTGTTCGTTCGTTGTACCAGTAGTGTCTGCAACTGTGATCTGAGCCGTTGAAACGCAGGGTTCACGCGGATTGATGACGTGTCAAGATATTGGACGGCTAAGATGAAACAATATGTATTTTTGTGGTGATACTTGATAGAGTCATTGCGGCGCTCTCTTTATTCGATTTCATAGTCAGCTGCCTCTCACGTGCGTTGGAGCGGTTGAGGAATCTAGGGTTAGGATTTTGATTTTCGCGAATATTCTCAATTGGCCCATTTATTTTTTTCTTTCGGACTACGCCGTTTTGTTCAAGGCCCGGATGGTTGGCCCAATTGGTTTAGGTAATCCACTCAAATCATAAACCAAACACCCTCCTAATATTCAATTAAAAATTATAATATAAGTTGGGTAGTAGTCATTGCCGTCAAGGAAGAAGGCGTTTAGACTCACCCACCCCCTCTTGCGTGGGGATTTATATCTCCTTTTATATAAGGAAAATTTGGTGGTTTATTACAGGGTGGTGAATATGACAGGTTTAGCTATTTCAAAGCCTTAATGAGGAAGATTTAAGATTAGATAGAGGACACGAAACACCTAATACTGGATTAATTAATTAATATAGTAATTTTATGGACCTAAACAACTGCCTTATTCGGCTAAAATGAGATTGTAAAACAATAAAAGTTCAAGCCCGCCAAGGACGGAGTCACTAATGGGTGAGTGGGGGCTCATGCCCTCACTGAAATTGGATTTAATCAAAATAGCATAATAAAAATCCAAGCGTTATCACCATTATTATTTTATTTTGTTATTTTAAAATATCAAATATATTTTAAATTGTAATACATAAAATAAATATAAATTATTTTGCATATGAAGATCTATTGACGAAACTTAATGAATTAAAAAGTCAATTTTTCATAGATAATAATATTCAAAATTTTTTCACTTGCCCGACTGTGACAAAATTTTGAATTCATCAATACGAAAGTGATATTATGGTCGTTGAAATTGATGATTTTTATGTAGAATTTAATGACTCTTTTTCATTTAGGAATTTTTAAAATACTATTTTATTATCCAAATTTATATTATGGTTTCAATTCTGACATCGTTACGACCCCATATCAGCATAATTCTCTTCCCTAATCATCACGCACCAAAACCCTTTAAACCATACTCATGCAAACCCTGCAAATCGTCAATAATTAAGTGATTAGAGTTTGTGCAACTACTCCTCCCAAATCAAATCATAATCAATATCAACCACTAAAAGACTTATAGGTCTTTTCTCTTCAAAAGCTCCAATAATCTAGATTGAGTATGTTTTTTTATTATCATCAAAATATAAATTTAGATAATAAAATAGCGTTTTAAAAGTATGCGACTTAAAAAAATTTCATTAAACCATTATTCCAAGTGGGAAAAAGATGTTAAATCTTTTATTTATCGTTAATTGATAATATTTGTATATATTGTACAAAAAATTTCTTTACGAGAATCAATAAAACTTGAATATAATGAACACACATACAAGCCCGTCAATGACGGAGCCACTAATGGGTGAGCCCCCACTGAAACTGGATTTAATCAAAATAGCATAAAAATCCAAGCATTATCACCATTATTATTTTAAAATATCAAATATATTTTTAATTTGTTTCTTTTTGTCGTCAGTCAAATACATAAAATAAATACAAATTATTTTGCATACGAAGATTTATCGGCGGAACTTAATGAATTAAGAAGTCAAATTTTCATAGATAATACTATTTGAAATTTTTTCACTTGCTCCGACTGTGACAAAATTTTGACTTCATCGATACAAAAACAGTATGAACCTATGAGGTTTGTTGAAATCTTTTTTTCTCACCCAAAGATTAGTTTAATGACATTTTTTCACTCACTAACTTTTAAAATATCATTTTATTATCCAAATTTATATTCGGTTTTCGATTCTGACATCGTTACGACCTCACACTATCATCATTCTCTTCCCCCGATCATCACTTACCAAAACCTCTCAAACCCTACTCCCGTCGACTCCACCAATCACCGACAATCGAGCGATTAGGGTTTGTATAGCTGCCCCTCCCAAGTCAAATTTTGATCATTATTAACCATAAAAAATCCAACATTCAACCACTAAAAGACTCATTGACCTTCCTTCTTCAAAAGCCCCAAGTCTAGAGGTGTTCAAAACCGGCTAACCGAACCGGTTTTGATGGATAACTAGTTTTCCCTTTTTCTTTTTTTTTTCCCCAAATTAAATTGTGAATATAAACAATACATATCCAAATAAAAATTAAACATTCATACATATCTGTTGACCACAACTAACAATACATAAAAAATTGATACAAATAAAAGTCCAAAATGAAATTATTTTTTTATTTAATATATAATATTTTTTTATTTAATATATATATAAATATATATATATTTTTTTTAAAAAAACTGGTTCAAAAAACCGGTTTTGGTTAACCTTTTTTTATTTTTTTCTGAATCGGTAACTAAACCGAAAATCCGAGTTTTGAATTTTTCAAATCGTAACCGAACCGTTTTTTCGGTTAATTGGTTTTTCAGTTCAGTTTGGTTTTTGCATTTTTTTAACGCCCCTAGCCCCAACAGCCTGTAAGTGTGCTCTCTATTTACTACCAGAATATAAATTTGAGTAGTAAAGTGATATTTTAAAAGTCTGTGGTGAAAAACTAACATTAAACCATTATTTGGGTGACAAAAAGTCGTTAACTCTTTTCTTTATCATTAATAGATTGTATTTGTATATATTGTAAAAAAAAAATCTTTATGAGAATCGGAAAAACAACACACATACAATCAATTAACAAAGATGTATATATGTCGCATATACGAATACAATGTGTTTTCATTGATTGGTTGTACATGTATTTGTTGTATTCAAGACTTTCTCCTTGAAAATATTATGCAATTGGCTTAGTTTAATATATGCTAAAATTGTTTAATGATATCAAGATACGGGTAAGGTAATCTCATATGAACTCTCCAAGTGAAAAAAGTCTATCCAAAAAGGGTTACGAGCATTAAAGGTTATCCGAATATAGGGTTTTAGGTTCGATCCCCGTCTAAGCATCCACAATTTAAGTGGGGCGCTATGGCAGTGGGTTGTTACATTAGTCTCTCCGGATGATTAAATGAGGTGCGCGTAAGCTGGTTCGGACACCTTGGTTATATATAAAAAATATATATATATATATGCAATACAAGATATAAATATTTGCATGATTAATATCCACAAAATTAATCACCCTTGGGTGGTCAGGTGAAACGATAAAAACTCTTGAGTGTATTACTCAAGGGATTTTAAGTTCGATTTTTCTCGATTGTTAATAAGAGGGCTACTATAGGATTTACCCAATCGTTAATTTTCAGACTCTGAATGATTAGTTAAGATACGCGTAAACGGGCACGATCATTAAAAATAAAAAAAAAATCCACGTTGTTAATCAGTTTCAATGTCAAAGAATTTAGGTTTTGTTCAACCGCCAACTTGCCTAATAATGAAGTCCCCAAATGCTAACTTCCAATCGCCGAATAAATTTCACATGTATTGTTGCTTCCTTAATTATAATTATAAATTCATATATTAATTAATTTTCAAAATTAAATTTATAAATATCTATAAACTTTTTAAATTTTAAATTTGCAAGATAAATCATCAACTAATTAGTCAAGTCAATCCGTGCTGTAACACCTGTAACACGTGGACTTAATAAATTAACGTAAGACACAGACAAAAAAAATATCCCACTAATAATAATTGTTCGTGTACCGAATGCTAGAAGGGCCTTAGAATCTCAGAGAGAGACTCCCAGAGCCAGAGATATGTGTGCAAGGTGGTCGGCGTCATATTTCCGATGGCCGGACTTCGAATTTTCTTTTTCGCCGTCGTTTTTCCGGTGGCCTGAGTTCGATTTTTCTTATTTCACAAGTGGGTGGAATTTGCATCAGAGTTTCAGATGGTTCGATTTCTCCATTGATGACTTGTTGTGGACGTTTGTTACTGTGTTCGAGTCTTTTCTTTTAGTCTCCATGCTCTGTTATTTCTTCTTGTTCTGTGGTTGTACCCTTTGAAAAAAAAAAAAAAAAAAATGTAGTTCTTTTTTTATTTTTCCCCCCCCTTAAAGAGTTCATGTGTATATTAAACATATTCAGTGTAATTTGCAGGCATCTAACAGCTTGATTGGTGAGTTTATTCAATTATGATGAGTGGTTTGATTTTTTTATCGAATTTTTTCTCTGGGTTTTTAATTTGTTTCTTCGTGGGGATGAGCTGGTTTCTGGGTTCATAAGATGGAAGAATTACGGCGAATTGCATTGTGTTGAATTATTAATGGTGAAATGGGATTGAATTTGAAGTTACATTTTGAGTGGTTGAGACAAGTAACCACAGCCTACAGTTGGGGCAAAGTGTTTGAAAAAGCTTTAACAAGTTGGGGGATCTTTTTTCCAGGTACAGTACAGCCAATTTCATGAACATTTAAAATCTTTTATGAATCAGCAAGAAGAGTGCATTATTTTAGGCCTCTTCACTCTGCATTTCACATTCATAAATCATCTTTTGTTTGGCATTTAGTTATCACTGGATGCCTATCTTTATGTTCCATCTTATCTTCAAATGCTTTATAAATTTCACTTTCATGTTATGGGTTCAGCTACTTGTGTGTGATGCTTCAATTTCAAACTCGGATTCTTCTTTAAATTTGTTGAATGATTGGGGAGTTTATAGAAGAGTAAAAGATTTGTTTAACTTCAACCCACAAAGACAAGGAATTCTACAGAGACAAAAATGTTCTAGTAATTGATTTGTGTGTAGAAATATCGGCCCGGCTTCCTGTATGAAATGAAAGTTCGTCGCCCTTAGTCACATCATATTAAAGAGCTTACAAAAGAAGGGAAAATAACCGTTCATTTTGGTAGGCGTGTTCAAAAAACCGATTGGAACCGACCCGGTTTGGTTGTGGTTTTTATCCGGAATGATCGTCAACGGTAAGTTTTTGTTCTAATTTTTTGGGATTGATACTATATGGTTTCGGTTTCAGTTCTTATATTAGGAATTGAAATCGAAACTGAGACTAATTTAAAATAAAATTAAAGAATAGGGGTGATAATAAAAACTTTTATTAAAAAATTAACATGAATACATTTTTATTTTTATTTTATTACATTTAAAGTATGTTTGTTTGATTTTTGATAATTTACTTTTATAAAGTAACGAAGTTTGTAATTTTATTTTTGTTAACAAGTGTTATTTTTCATTTTAAAAACTTTTTAGGGGTAATTGTAATTTTATTGGATACCCAAAACTGAAACTGTTGTTAGGATATGTAATTCTAAATTTCAAGAAATCGTCGATTCCAGTTTCGATTCCTTCAGAAAATGTAAGGTACCCGAAACTGAATATCCCAATTTTTGGCGGCCTTCTATTTGTCCAAAGGTATCAAAACTAAGTTTGCTTAAGCAATTTTTGTCTTGGTTCATATAATGTTGTTAGAGCGCTAATTTGTTGGACTATTATGATGTACATACATTGTTAGGATATACACAATAATATATGCAAAATAGTAAATAAGATATAAGATTTACTTTGGTTCATTTCAATAAAAGAATTATATTCAGCATTCAAATATAGAAATAGAGTATTTACATTAAGTATTTTACTCTTGCTCTCTATTATCTTTCTTTTAGTTTTTTTCACTATTACAAAATATATATAATAGAAAACCTAACCCTATTGTAGGCTTACATGATATAACCTGACCCAAATATTAATAAATTAATTTTAAACCCAATTTCTAATTCTAAACCCAAATATTAGCAAATCAAATCTAAATCTAATTATTTGAATGATTCAGCATACATTGATAATTCGTCAAAACTATGCGAAACATGAACCATATCCGTCACTCGCAAGCACTAGCCACATAGAGTCAACTTTTTAAAAATTTAAAAAAAGTGTTAAAGTTTATGAGTTGAATTTTATTGGGTTAATAGAAATTGTTTGAAAAACCCAAGTTATAAGTTGAATTTTGATAAATTTGTGTTGTTTTTTTCTTTTTTAATTGTAATTTTTTTTAAAGTGTCATTTTAATTGTATTGGTTAGATAAAGTATATATTTTATCATAAACTTTGATATTTTGAATCCATTGAATCACCGATTCAGAATCCTAACCGCGTCCCGATCACTCGTGTTAGCCTTTGAAAATGAGTTTAACCTAAACCAGTTTATAACGATAATGATCAGATTTAAAATTTTACGGTTTGTAACTAATTACCAATCTATTTTATATGACAACTCACTGCAAAACAACAGTAAAAAATCAACGGCTAGAAATTAATTTGTTTAACATTTTAATGATAATTTGGTGACACTGTTAATAACTGTTTTGTTATTTTACAAAAAATAGCTTTAAAACAAACATTAACAGTAAAAATCTTGTCCCAGCTACCCAATTGTGTGTAGCCACGTAAGGAGACCGGCCCACCTGTACGGAGCAACCTCAGCCGATTAGTAAACTAAACTCAAAGTGGTGGAGAGTGGAGACGTCGCGTGGCTGGGCTGCTCTGTAAGACAGAGAAGAATAAATTTAATAGAACTGGGTACGCGCTTTTGCCACGTGTCCGGTCACTCCAACACCCCTGCCACGCTTTATAATAGTGTCCACAATTTCAGTCCAGCCCTCTCTCTGTCTCGTACTATCGTTTCTTTTACGCTGTTTTTGAGAGTTCAGAGAAAAGAAAAGCAGAAACGAAACACAGTACTTGTTATTTTTTTCATTTCCGAAAATTGATTTAAGTTTTTGAAAACACAAAAAACTAAAAATTGTTGTGAAAAAACATTGTGTATGGCAGCTTATGCTTATAATAACAATCAAATTAATTTCGTGGATTTTCCTTTTCGCCCATTAAACCCTAGCTCCAGTGGCGTACCAAACCCAAATTTTAATCAAGCTCCTCTTCCGTATAATCCTTTGCTCTTTGTTGTTCCTCCTTTTGGAGTTCCTTTGAATCCTTCTCTGTTGATTCAAATGGACGAGGAAAGATCGCTCTCTCTTCTTCAGGTAATTTCTTTGGTTTCTTTTTCTTTTTTTTTTTAGTTGGAGAAAACACATTTTTAATGATTATTTATTTGTTTGTTACTGTTTGGTTTAGTTGATCGCAAATGAAGGACTCGTGCCGGTAAGAGAGGAAGAAGAGAAGAGAATAAGTGTCATTAAAAAGCTTAAACAGGTTTTCTTTCAGTTCTTTTATGCATTTCTTTCCTTTCTTTTTGTTTTAATTTAACAGAATAATTGTTTGAAATTTGGTGTTTTATACGTTATTCAATCATGTAGGTTTAGAATTTAGATTTTTGCAATTTGGACCATTTGTTAATCTGGGGTCTGCTAATCAAAGGTGTAAGTGTTCTTAAACCAAGTAATTCAAGATTTAATTTTGCAGATAGTGTTGTCATGGGCCAAGAAGGTTGCTTGGCAACGTTGACTTCCTAACGAGCAAATTGCAGAGACTCATGCAACGATATTAACATATGGTTCCTATGGCCTTGGTGTAAGTTTTTAGCTTGTTTCCTAGTTTACTTTCTAAGTTTGTTGGAAGTTTTCTTGGTGAATTCTGTGTCTTGTTAACTGATTTCATTTCCCTTTTTTCAGGTTCACGGTTCAGAGTCGGATATTGATGCTTTATGTGTTGGCCCCCACTTTGCCACAATGGCGGTAAGTTTATCTATTTAACTGATCTTTCATTGTCACCCTGAAGTGGAACAAGCATTGTTTTGAATTTTGATATACCTGATTTGTACAGGAGGATTTTTTCATTGTTTTGCGCAACATGCTTAAGAGCAGATCAGAAGTTACAGAGATCCACTGTGTGAAGGATGCGAAAGTTCCTCTGATGCGGTTTAAATTTGATGGAATTTTGATTGATCTTCCATATGCGCAACTTAAAGTACCTTCTGTTCCTGATGTAAGTCTAGTACCTTTGTTATTGGGAAAATTCTCACAATTAATGGTTACAGCATTTTTAGCTGTGCTAATGTTATATAAATCTAATTTCTCGCATATACTACTAATCATTACTAGCATGATTTAGTAATGGGATTGCAGTATGTTTTGTTATAGTCGTTAAGTTCTTGTGTATTTTCCTTCACTGTTGGATTGAGGTGAGTATTAACTTGGTGTGGCTATGAATTCCAGGATGTGGATGTACTCAATCCATTCTTTGTAAGGGATATTGATGAAACCAGTTGGAAAAGTTTGTCTGGAGTACGTGCAAATCAACGTATTATTCAGCTTGTTCCGGACTTGGAGGTAGTTTTTAAATCTCTGCATGGCATACAATTTTCCTTAATTTGCAATGCATGACTGATTTGATTGTGAATTGTAGATTGATAACCAAACCATGCAGTTTGAAACTGTTCTAATTGGTTCTCACAATTTTTCCTTGTTTTCGTCTTGTCCAACTTCAGTTTTTCTACGTCTCATTATTTACTGATATGTTCCAGAAATTCCAATCAGTGCTGCGATGTGTCAAATTATGGGCAAAAAGGCGAGGAGTGTATGGTAATGTAAGTAGAATGTGCTTGGTATCACATTCATTATAAGCTTCAACACTACTTGAGGCACTTTATAGACACTTGTTTTTGGTTGAATGACGAATTGAAAGTTATTACTTATGTAAATGCAGTTAAATGGGTTTCTAGGAGGAGTCCATCTGGCAATTCTTGTGGCATTTGTTTGTCAAAATTTTCCAAAAGGCAGTATAAGTCTTCTGATTTCAAACTTCTTTAAGACGTTTGGCTTTTGGCCTTGGCCTGCACCAGTCATGCTGCAGGATACAATGTCACCAGCTGGATTTCCTTCTGAGACACGGTCTTTGATGCCTATCAGGTTGCCATGTAGTCCACAAGAGTATTGTCATACCAATATCACTAGAAGCACATTCTACAAAATCAGAGCAGAGTTTCTCCGAGCACATAATTTGACTAGGGTATGTACTATTTACATGGTATCATTATTGTTGGTATAGCTGTCTTTATTGTATGCTAAATTACAGGTTTAGTGAAGGAAGGAATCAAAGGAAATGAGAGGATTTAAAATGTAGAAATTTACTACAAAATCCTTTCCCTTTATAACCCTTTCACTCCATTTGTGTTCTCTTTCGGGCAGGGGGGACTGGTGGGTCCAATAGAGAACCCAATCCTTCCATATTCCTTAATTACTATGCATTTATTATAACCAAATTAGGAGAGGAGCCTTTACTTTTTCCATTATCTTCCTTTTCATTTCTTCTGCCTTTCTTCAACGGAACTTCTTTCTTGGCATTGCAGGATCTCTTGAGGCCAGATTTTGATTGGCACACCCTTTTTGAGCCTTTTCCATACTCAAAGAAGTATGCACGATTTGTCAAAGTTTATCTTTCGGCTTCTAATCCTGATGATCTGGGAGATTGGGTGGGTTGGGTGAAGTCACGTTTTCGAGGTCTTCTTGTCAAGGTAAGTGTCTTTACAATGCTGCTAAACTAATTCATGTTAACCAGATCTGTGGTGGTTTAGTTTGTTAATTAGGAAATGAAATGTAAAATAAGAAAACTGACTACATTCATGTCTTATGAGATCTATTGTATACTAGGCAAATATATAGATAGTCCCCAATTTAAGTAAAAATTGCCTCATTGTGGTCGCATGTTAAGTTTTCCAGAGTCCACATGAGGCCCTATACATTGTATTATCTATGGTTTTTTGGGTGTCATGGACTGCAGTCACATTGATGACAGTTTCTGGCACGAATGTCTTTGCGGATATTCCAATTAATATTGTTTCTCTGTTGAACCTCATTTTCTACTCCAGTATACCCTTAAAAACTTTATTCTGTTCCTGTTCAATGCATCTTCCATAGCTTTAGGACATGAATTTCACATGCACTAATGATATCATCCCTACATTAATATCATAGTTTTGGCATCTTTGCAATTTTGTAGACGCTTGATGAGGTTTTTTAATATGCTGCAGTTGGAGGATGTACAAGGCTTATGCGACCCTAACCCCACAGAATATGCTGATACTGACGTGGCAGAGCCAAATGTCGTTTTCTACTGGGGCCTGCAACCTGGTAGAACTCAGTTCTTAGATATAGAATCTGTTCAAAAAGATTTCTGGAAAAATATCACCAACGGCTATCAAGGCTCTATTGGACGAATGAAATTATCCATTGTGCAAGCTTCTCAACTGTTGAGGAATTCACAGTTTGACACTGGAAGTGGGAAAAGAACAAAAGCTTGTTGGAAGATTATCGACTACAATCTGCAGAGTGTCCCTACTTACTCACAGCATTTGCCAAACTACTTTGTCGGGTATGTGGCAGCCAATGGAGATACTAAGTACCCAAGTGCTGGGGGTTAAAATTTTATTCTGTTCCGGCTTCAATTTTGTTTTGCTTTTTGCGGAATTTGATTTTCATGGTTTCTCTTACGCTACCAGATTTTTTAACAAAATGAATGATGTATGAGTTGCTCAGCAAATAGGATAGATATAATACAAGCTGGATATTCGAACGAGGAGGAAGAAGTTTAGATTGGATTTGTACATATGGGGTATAATTTTTTTTCTTAATTTTTTTTGCAGCACTGTTGTAAAGATTCAACGCTGTGCTTTTACCTTGTAGAACTACTTACATATTATATTAGAATATAAAAATGATTCTTAAACATTGCTGAATCAGTCTGAAACTCAAATAGAAGTCTACTTTTGAAAGAAATTCTTCAAGCACTGAAAGAAAGCTGATTAATGAATGTGATGGCCATGTTCTTATTTTGATTGATTTTCTCATTTGCCTAGCCAGTCCTACTGAGAGCTCGGATCGGACCGGCCGGGCCGGTTTAGGTCTTAGTGGGGTTTTTGTAATATTTTAAAATTATAAGGGTTAATTAATTTTGTAGGGGTGTTTTGGAGATATGTCAAAAGTTTAGGGATTAATTGAATTTTTTAGGGTATTTTTGAAATAAATAAAAATTTTAGGGACTAATTGAATGTTTTTAGGGGAATTTTTGTAATATATTAAAATTTGAGAGATTAATAATAATTTTTAAAAAATAAAATTATCGTTGACATCATCAGTCCAACTCTGAGAGGTGTGAAAAGAGCTTTGTTAAAGCAAATTTGCCTTTGTTTACTTTTAAAACCCAACCTAAAATTATGAATACATTTAGGTTTGATTTCTCATTGGACGTAAAAATAGTGTTTTTGTCTATAATTTATTTGAAGGGTGCGATGATGGATTACTGTAGGATAATTTTCCTTTAGCAATAATCGAGATATGTGTAAATGGACTGGACACTTTAGTTAAAAAAATAATATTACACAAAAGTTCACTAATTTTCAATTTAATAAACAAGATTTTTGTCACATGAAAAGAAGAAGCATCCAGAAACTATATAACAAAATATATTATACTTAACATATGTATAATAATTGATAGGTCAGTCGACACAAAGTGACAACGGGGCTTCGTTTCAAATATTCACGAGACCAAATCAGTCCTGTCTGTTGTTTTCATTGCTTGTCAGATTACTGACTCAAACTATTCACTAATAGTTTTTAAGAAAGAATTTGAACAAGTCCCCAATCGTTTGAGTTATTGATAAACATGAAATTTTGAATCAACGAAAATCCCTCTTGGTGTTAGTTGATTGTTAGAATATTAAGTGGGTTTATTAGTATTAACACTACGGTGTTTCCTTCTAAGCGATCGTAGCCGAAGAGATCTCCTTTGAGCTTGCGAGACAATGTTGGGGTCGTTAAGACGCATATTAAACACTGCAAGAAGTGGAAAGTTGACACAACGGTCTACAACGAGTGACATTACGGATTAACAACGTATAAAGTCAAAGAAACATGGTGAGACTAGGGTTGTCAGTTGAGCCGAGCCGCTCGCAAGCCGGCTCGACTCGACTCTTTAAATACTTGAACTCGACTCAAGTAAGATACCGAGTCGAGTTCGAGTCTATCCCGACTCGACTCGATTGGGCTCACTAGCCAATAGTGGCCCGTTTGGGGTTTTTCTACGCATAATACAAGTTTTTGTTTTATTTTGTAATTTAACATGTAAAAGACTAGAAGGTTTAAAAAATCACCAATTAACCCAAAATCAAATCCCGTAAATGCATTCTCCCCCAAATCAAGAACCCTAAAACAAGATTCCGTAAATTTATCAAAAATTGGATATGATTTGTGTAAAACAAGATCTGTAGGTTATATTAAATAAGTACCAAACGACTCGTAATCGAGCCACTTCGAGCTCGGGTCAAGTCACGAGTCGAGTTTTCCTGACTCGATCGACTCATGACTCGATTCGAACTTGTCTAATGCTTAACCGAGCCAGAATCGTTTAGGGTGATGCTCGGTTCGAGTCGGCTCGTTTACACCCCTAAATGAGACGCATGTTGGGAGTGCAACATGTAAGCAATGGGCACCAACAACAGCGTAGTATGGAAATGAATAGTAGTCTCGTGTGCCATAGCCGGAAGCATGTATCTTTCCTATCAATAACCTAAACTTATCAATTGAATCCTTAAATCGCATATTCCACCATAAAACATCTGTTAATTTAACTTATTAATTATAAAGAGATGGAAAGGGTAGAATATAGACAAAATCCTTGAGTGGATCAAAGAACTTTACTGGTTGTGGTTTGTCAAATTCTCTATGCCTTGTCTCTTTCTGCCACAAAACTATGGGTACCAATTGGATCTTCAAAAGGGTTTAGAGAAACAACAGCTTTTTGTACTTAAAAGCACATTTTCCTTCTCTTTTCTACCATTTTTGTTCACGGGTCAAGTTTGGCATCATTTCATAAAGGAGAGACTGAGATGGCCATAATCAATTCAACATCTTGTGATTCTATAACTTTTCACCGAATTATTGATAATCAAAACGTAATTCCCTCTACAGCAACAGCCCAAGCATGCCCTGCTTTCACATGAAAATATGTGATAATAAGGACAAAGCAAATTCAAAGAAGTTTTACTTTTTGGACGAAAGGGGATCCCCAAACTCTCTCTATAAAATAATGGAGGATTTGCAAACCACCTTAAAAAAAACCAAACCAATCATCTTTCTTCTGCTCTGTTCTCTGGGCATTTCAGTTCAGTTCACTTCAGTTTCTCTGCAAACATGCAAAAAACTCTGACCTTTCTTCTTCTTTTTCTTCTTCTTCTTCTTCTTTTCCTATCAGTTCATTTACAACTACAATGTGAAGCTGCTGCTATTAACGTAGACGATGATGATTTGATAGAGAAAATATGCAGAAAAACACCCTTTCATGATCTCTGTGTGGCCACTCTGCAGCCAATCGCCAACACCCCAGGTTCAAATATTAAAGGGCTGGCCAGTTCAGTGGCTAATATTGTTCTGGGAAATGCAACCGACACTTTGCATTACATAGAGGGGCTGATTAAACAGACTTCAGACCCCAAAGAAGAGAGAGCTTTGGCTGAATGTGCAGAACTCTACATCTCAGTTGTCAAATATGAGCTTCCTGAAGCCATTGAAGCTTTGAGTAAAGGTCAATATGGATTTGCAAACTATGGAATTTCCGATGCTGCCAAACTAGTTGATCAATGTGACAAGGGTTTCCCAGGAAAAAGTGGATCTCCATTAAGTGACAGAAACAAACTTATTCATAGCCTTTCTCAGATTGCTGTTGCCATTATTAATGTTTTGGCAAAGGGTTAGATTTCATTGTTGTATCTGTTGTTAATATTTTAGTCATCTATGTATTATTATTGTGGTTTGTGTGACAATAAAATACAATATTAGATGCTTCTTCCAGCCTCCAGTGTTCTGTCTAGATCTTGTACTTTTTGAGTTTAAAAGGTTACAATGAAAAGTAGCTCATAATCCAATCTTAAAAACTCTCTCTCATAACTTCTATAACTCTCAGTTTTTTTGCATATAGTAATTGCCTTATAACCATAGAACGAAAATCCTGATTCTCTTTCTATTTCATGCCCTTTTGAGCCACTCATCACATGGAACTGGGCCTAATCTGGTTTATGTGGTGGTAAGAAACAGACCAATACCAGCTTGTAGAAGCCTCTAGATTAAGGGTTTTTTTTTTTAAATTTTTATGCTTGGTGTGTATAGTTTTGGAATGATGTATGTACTATGTTTCATATTTAACTATACTTTCCTGTATCTGCAAATACTTTTCAGAGATAAAAAATGGAAGAAAAAACTTCATCAAATTATTTATTCGTGTATAAGAGTTTACAAAATTTTATCTTTTAGTAATAAAAAACAATATTTCAAATTTGAAATTATTTATTCTTCTAAATTTGATTATTGTAACGTGTTTGTGCTTTTCCCTTAAAAGAAATCTAGTAACTTAGCTCATGTGAATGCATGTGCTAGCTCAGGCTCAACCGCAGAATTAAAAGGATCTTCACTGCAGGTGTTTAAACAGCTGCATTGGAAGGAAGATACCAAGCTGGTTCCAGGAGACTTTCTCAGTCACGTGCCATTTATCTCTTTTTGATATAAACTGAAACACTCTTCTATGGAGAAAAAGTGGGTTTTTACAACACTGTTTCTTGATCTGGGTTTTCTTTGTTTTTTGATTTGTTGAATGTTTCTGCTCAAGTTTTGTTTTGTTGTTCGCTGAGCATTTGTGGAAAGAGTAAAAATTGGGATTTAAGTTGCTTAGAGTGTCAACAGATATTTTGAAGTGTTAATTGTCCTGTAGATTATAATCTTCTTTTTCCTCAGAACAATTTAATGGGTTAGTGGAATCCTGGGCTGTGTTCTTTTGTCAGAGTTTTGATAGAAATGTAGTTGAGTTTAGGACTTACTTGCTATAATGTTCATGTAAACTTCTAATTTGTATGATTACTACAGTTGGAGGTATACCTTCATGGGTGCAAGGAGTTACATCTGATAATCCTGCCTCACAATTGGAAGCCACCACTCATTCAGAAAGCTGTTATCAATTGGTGTGTGCATTTTTTGTTTTTCTTTGATAGAGTGTTTTCATAATTGTATCCAGTTGGTAAAGGTGTACATGTGTTTGTGCAGAGCGTTTGCCCCCCAATCGAGGAGGTATAGATCAGGTGTTGTGCCTCGTTTTTGGAGTTTCTTGATAGGCATGATGTACCTCAACTGCAAGTATGGGATTCTGGTGGAGCTTGTTTCAGTTTTTTTCATTGTATTTTTTGTTTGCTATCCCCCAGAATTATATACTCAACTTACCATCAGGTTTTGTGTTTTATTCTTCATCTCTAGTTTGAGGCAGCATGGGCTTTGACCACATTGCATCTGGTACATCAGAGCATACAGTTTTATTGATCATGGTGCCGTGCCTAAGTTTGTGCAACTCTTGGGTTCTTCAAGTGATGATGTTCGAGAACCAGGTGTCTACTACTTAGCTTTTATTTTTGTAACTTTTTAATCTACCATTAATTCATCTTGAAGGTATAACCTTTTATTTACCACATTCTCCATCAATTGCACAGGCTGTATGGCAATTGGCAATGTTGCAGGGACTCCCCCAGGTTGTAGAGATCTTGTTCTAGTCATGGCGCTTATCTCATTAACTGGCTCAGTTGAATGAGCACTCAAAACTGTCTATGCTAAGGATGCTATTGGACTTTATCGAACTTCTGCCGTGGCAACCACCGGCCCCATTTGACCAGTTGCAGTGACAGTTATATCTTTTTTGTGTTCAAACAATAACCTACTTTCTCTTTTAATGGGTAATGTTACAACCGGACAATGGAGCACAAGATCATGATTATAATATTTGTTTCTTCTCATCATGTGAAACTGCATTGGTAGCCCTACGGCACCTGATCTTCTCAACTGAGAAGAATTTCTGACTGATGCTTGCTGGCCCCTTTCATATCTTTCTGATGGCACAAATGATAAGATTCAGCTGTAATTGAGGCTGGTGTTTGCCACCGGCTTGTGGAGCTTCTCCTGTAAGATGGCCTTCTCATTGAAATCATTTCTCTTCTCAATGCCACCTTTCCTTCATCTTAATATAATAGGTTAAATTTTTTAAAAAGAGACTATTGAGTTGGTGTTCTCTTTCTTTATGGAGCCATTTACCTAATGTGGGTTGAATGGTTAGAGTTAAATAGGTTTTGCGCAATTCCGTAGGTGGAATAGAGCTTTGGTTGTTGGTGTTTTATGTTTTATGTTTGGCATCTTTTAGGTTAGTATTGCTAATTTGTGTCTGTTCTCATCTCATGCAGTCATCCATCCCCAACATCCTTGTGCCTGCTCTTCGAACTGTAGGGAACATAGTTACGGGTGATAACTCAAACTCAGGTATCTATTTCACATCGTGAGAATTTATCACATTCTTAGATTTGCCTGATGAAAACCAAGTGATTTTGGACTCAATGAAACTTAGTTTTGGGAGGAGTTAGGGGGAAAAAATAATTAATAAACGTCTTCCTTAATCCAGTTTATAAGTTGTTGAATAAAAGAAAAATACTAGAATGCAAAGCTGTTTGGGAGTTGAATACTTCCATCCCTTTTTCATGACACATGTTAGAAATATTCTTTAAGCATAATAATGCTTTGCATTAAGTACTTATATATATATATTTTATATAATTTAAATCCTCTTGTTGTTATTACCAAGGTTAAATTCTGAATAAATTTTTCAGTGTATAATCGACCACCAAGGGCTGCCTTGTCTCTACCAACTTCTTACACAAAACTACAAGAAGAGCATTAAGAAGAAGCCTGTTGGACGATTTCAAACATAACAGCCGGAAGTAAAATCAAATACAGGTAACATGCAGAATCTTTTTTTTTTTTTTTTGCATCTTTTTGTTATCAAAATTTATGCACTAAGGGCCTTGTTATGAGTTCATTACTCATGGCTATCATGGCCATTTAATCACAACTATACTGATTAGTGAAGATAATTTGTAGACTCTACCAATTTCTTGGATTTTTTTTGCCTGTGTTATTCTAAAACTCCAAATTTGAGAAGTTGCACGATACTGTATAATGACTAATTCTTACTTTCTCTGCAACAGGCTGTTATTGAGGCAAACAATATGCACCTCTTGTACACCTGCTTCAAATGCTGAATTTGAAGTCAAGAAGGAAGCTGCATGGGCTATTTCCCCAATGCCACGTCTGAGGTTCAAGAGAACAGATTCATATGCTTTTGCTTGCTTCCTCCACTCTCATATATGTTTTTTCGTTGAATATGTTGTAATATCTTTGCCTATAACGTCTAAATATATATATATATATATTAACGTTATATGATTTCTACAGATTCTTGGTAAATCAAGGCTGTATCAAACCACTCTGCGATCTCCTAGTCTGCCCTGATCCAAGGATTGTGACAGTGTGCCTTGAGGGCCTTGAAACATTCTAAAGATCGGCGAGCGGTACAAGAAGCGGGAAATACCGCGTCAACATCTATTCGAATGAATGATGATGCGACGGATTGGATAAAATTAGAACCTGCAGAGCCGACAACAACGAATCTATGAAAGCTGTTAAGATTTTAGAGAGGTATTGGTAGAGGAAGAGAGAGCAAATCTCAAGATGGTACCAACAACCAGGACCAGAGTTCAATTTTGGAACTGGCCAGCCTAACATTCCCTCTGAGGGATTTAAATTTTAATTTAGTTGAAATACTGGTGTTCCTTTTTCACGCTATCTATTTATTCCTTTTATATTCTGTATTTGCGGCTCAGTTTTTGTGGGGTGGCCGGCCTTACTTGTGTGAATTTTATTCGACAATGTAATCTTTAATTTATCCTTTTATTTCCTTTCGAATAGGAAGTTTAATCTAATGTTATTATTGCTCTTAGGGCCTAGACTTCACCCGAATCTTAGGGTCCAAGCCCAAGTTATAACGTCCAACCACGTGTCTCCCATGATGGGCCTCAATCCATGCCGCTTCTAGATAAAGTTTTCAAAGATTTAATTGCTATTGTCACGGAGATTCCAGGATTTGGATTAGATTGCCAGCTCACTTTATCATCATCACTTATCAGGCTGTTTGCGTGACGCGTCAACGTCTGTCATTTTTCCTTTCCTCACCACCAACCGCCGACAAAATGCCATCTGTCAATGATGAAATCAACCGAAAATCTCATTATTAGAGCCTGAAAAATAAAAATAAATACATATACTGACGAAATAACCTCAACTAGAATATTGTGTATTTGCTGCCGATTTGTTTACAAGATAGCATGTAATATATTTTTACCAAAACAGAGCATGTGCATTAACGTGGTCCCATTACCCACTACTGAGAAGAAAGAGAGGTTACTTCAGAATAAAAAATTAGATAATTTCCCCATTCTTTGCATCTGTCGCATCATATTAGGTTGTTTTTTCGCAAAACAGGTTTTCGTACTGCTGTCTATCACACTGTTAAAATTGTTGCCAATTTTTTGTTCTTGCTGTTAAATTACTGCCATCCGATGGTCAAATGCAATAATAAGGGCTCAAACATCAGTCCAAGCTTGGAGACCAAAACCCAGTCCGCCCCCGAGGCCAGGCTAAACAAAATTTATGGGTGTGTCCATGATAATCCCATAGCTTTGCCCAATTGAAGTGATAAAACTCATAGTTTATTTTTTTAATGAAGATTGAAATTTGACAATCCCAAGGCACCAACCATTTAGAATATCAGTAAAGGACAACAAGAGTTAAAGTAATACAGGACCCTATCTAAAATCTGCAGTAAACCCTAACAGATGAAAGTTTTGAAGGTCTACACTTATCTAAGGATCATAACTTACACAAATTCTAAACCAACTGTTTCAGATAGTTTTTTCACAACACACCGCAACATAAACTATGCATTACCCAAATGAAACATATAACCTAAAATAGTAATCAGGATGATAATACAGGATCGAAAAACACAATCATCCTATCCTTCTTTCTACAGAAAGGATGGATTTAAGATAAGGTAGAGAGATTGACCTATATGTCAATGGTCATCCTCAAACCAAGACGGGGCCCGCCCTATCGCTTGGATGGTCTCTCATCATCCTCTCCACCATCATCATCGTCGTCGTCGTCTGAATCATCCCTCTGTTCTTTTCCTTTTAGGTGGAGCCTCAACCTTCCGTCGTCATCTTCGTCGTCTTCCTCTTCATTGATTTCTTCATCGTCACCGTTCTCTACGGTTCGAAATCACTGGCATCTTCCTCGTCTTCAGACGACCAACTGGCCGGACGGGTATTCGGTTCCTAGATCCTCCTACATACAGATATAACGTAAAATGACACTAAAGGAAGAGGACAGAATCAATCATATACACAAAATACAAGGGACATGTATAAAAATAATGAGAAAATAAAATTGAAAATTTCTTTGATATAAATCTGATTTCACAGTAAATTTCACATGGAAAAACGACTTTTAATGTCAATAACAATGATAGAATAAAAAGCCTTCAGACCCAAATCATTAAATAGCATGAACAGACAACCGCTCCACCTTTACAGAAGGTAAAAGAAAATATGAAGGAGCCCAATGTCTTTAAATAAACTACACCTAAAGCCTAAAGATTTTAGGTAATAAAATTGTCCATCCAATTTATACACCCAAACCCTGCAACTATGTGCATAACCCAAAAAAAAAATCAAATTCAAATCAAGCAGCTGGGCTTTCACCTTGAGACAGACACACACCAGGATACTGTTTACAAAGATTAAAACAACAAAATTGAACAAAAAAACTGTTATTTTACAGATCATCAAAAGAACAAAGTATTCCTTAGATCTGATCATATTTCTTACTAAATCTCATGATTCATACAAACGGAACAAAAGAACAGATCTAAAAGTACAACACGTACAAACTAGAGATCCGTCAATTTATTTTTCATATTTACCACAAATAAGGATAACAAGCGATCTGTATATTTCCACAGGCAAAATACTCAGAAATATTACTAAATAAAAAAATAAACTAAGCATAGACTGAGCACAAAATTAAGGGAGATTTTTTTACCTCTTCTCCACCGTCCTCGTCCTCGTCGTTATTCTCGTCGTCGTCGTCGTCATCGTCGTCATCGTCTCCGTCACCGTCATCATCCTCGTCGTCATCGTCGTCATCTTCATCGTCTTCCTCATCATCAGCTGAATGAACCGGCGTCCACTAGTTGAGTGCAAACCTGCACTTCATCATCATCATCTACTTCCTCTTCATCTTCGTCGTCGTCGTCGTCCGTCATCGTCGTCATCTTCGTCGTCATCGTTATCTCCGTCTCTTCTTCCTCTCACCCATCTTTTGTCTCAGTCTCCGTCTCTTCTTCGCTTCCTTCACTCAGAGAATTATATCTTCCCTTCTTCATTTCCGGTTGAATTTTCTTCTCTCTTCTTCCATGTTCAAAGCTTGCACAAATTTCTCTCGAAAAAAATTAATTTTTATTTTTTCAAGGAAAAATTTGGAAAACAGGGGAGAGAGGCGAGGATAGGAGCTTGTTCGTTCGTTGTACCAGTAGTGTCTGCAACTGTGATCTGAGCCGTTGAAACGCAGGGTTCACGCGGATTGCTGACGTTTCAAAATATTGGACGGCTAAGATGAAACATATGTATTTTTGTGGTGATGAGTCATTGCGGCGCTCTCTTTATTCGATTTCATAGTCAGCTGCCTCTCACGTGCGTTGGAGCGGTTGAGGAACTAGGGTTAGGATTTTGATTTTCGCGATATTCTCAATTGGCCCATTTATTTTTTCTTTCGGACTACGCCGTTTTGTTCAAGGCCCGGATGGTTGGCCCAATTGGTTTAGGTAATCCACTCAATCCTAATATTCAATTAAAAATATATATAAGTTGGGTAGTAGTCATTGCTCGTCAAGGAAGAAGGCTTTAGACTCACCCACCCCCTCTTGCGTGGGATTTATATCTCCTTTTATATAAGGAAATTTGGTTTTTTTCAGGGTGGTGAATATGACAGGTTTAGCTATTTCAAAGCCTTAATGAGGAAGATTTAAGATTAGATAAGGGACACGAACACCTATACTGGATTAATTAATTAATATATGTAATTTTATGGACCTAACAACTGCCTTATTGGCTAAATGAGATTGTAAAACATAAAAGTTCAAGCCACCAAGACGGAGTCCACTAATGGGGATGTGGGGCTCATGAAATAACATATCAAATATAGTTTAAATTGTAATACAGTAATAAATAAATTATTTTTTGCATATGAAAGATTTATTGACGAAACTTAATGAATTAAAAAGTCATTTTTCATAGATAATATATTCAAATTTTTTCACTTGCCCGAGTGCAAAATTTTGATTCATCAATACGAAAGTGATTGTATATGAATGAGCTGTTACATTAGGTTGTGAATGATTGATTTTTATTAGAATAAACTTTTTTTTCTAAATATATTTTAATGACATTTTTTCATTAATTTTTAAAATTCATATATTTTTAAATTTATATGTTTTTCATTATGACATCGTTACGACCCATATATCACATTTTCTTCTTGATCATCATCACAAAACCCTTTAAAATACTCACTGAACCCCATCCAATTGTCAATAATTAAGTAATTAGAGTTTGTGCAACTCCACTCTCCAGTAAAATTCATAATCAATATCAATTATCAAAAATCTTATCGGTTTTTTTTTTTTTCAAAGCTTAATAATTAAATCAAGTATAATTTTTTGTTTATTGCTAAAATATAAATTAAATATAAATATGTTTTAAAGTTGATTAAAAAAATTCATTAAACATTATTAAATGAAAAAGAGTTAATCTTTTATTTATCGTAATTGATATATTTTATATATATTGTACAAAAATTTTCTTTACAGAATCAAAAAACTTATATAATGCACACTACAAGCCCGTCAATGACGAGCCACTAATGGTGAGCCGCCCCCACTGAAATGGATTTAATCAAAATAGCATTAAAAATCCAAGCATTATCACCATTATTATTTAAAAATATCAAATATATTTTTAATTTGTTTCTTTTGGTCGTCATCAAATACATAAAATAAATACAATTATTTGCATACAAGATTTATCGGCGGAACTTAATGAATTAAGGTCAAATTTCATAGATAATACTATTTGAAATTTTTTCACTTCTCCGACTGGTGACAAAATTTTTGACTTCATCAATACAAAAACAGTATGACCAATGAGGTTTGTTGAAATCTTTTTTCCTCAAACCAAATGATTTAATGACATGTTTTTCATCCATTAACTTTTAAAAATCATTTTATTATCCAAATTTATATTCGTTTCCGATTCTGACATCGTTACGACCTCACCTATCATCATTCTTTCCGATCATCACTCACTAAAACCTCTCAAACCCTACTCTTGTCGACCCCACCAATCACCGACAATCAGCGATTAGGTTTTAATAGCCCTCTCTCCAAGTCAAATTGATCATTATTAACCACAAAAATTCAACTTCAACCACAAAAGACCTTCAAAGCCTACACCTGGACTAGTCTCTATTCGCTACCCATAATATAAGTTTGGTGTAAATAGTATTTTAAAGTCTGTGTAATTACATTAAACCATTATTGGTTGAAAAAAAAATCGTTAACTCTTTTCTTTACCGTTATGATTTTTGATATATATTTGTACAAAAAACCTCTTTATGATAATCGGTAAAACTTTGTATTGAATGAACACACTACATCAATAACAAAATGTTATCGTCCATAATCCAATACAATGTGTTCATTGATTGGTTGACATGTATTTGTTGTTATTAAGACTTTTCTCCTTGAAAGTATTATGCAATTGGCTCAGTTTAATATATGTAAATGTTTATGATATCAAATATGGGTAAGGTTTCTCATATAAACCTCCCAAGTGAAAAAAGTCTATCCAAAAAGGGTTACGACATTAACGGTAGTCAAAAGCCCCAACAGATTCTCGTATTGCCCACAACAGGTACGGACTCTAGTTACTGTATCCCGCCCCCCCCTTTAAGGTTTCTTTGTCTCTCCACCATGACAACCAAGGGGCTATAGCAAATGGGAAGCACAGAGTACCATCAGACAGCTGCGCGGCGTGCAGGTTATACTGAATATAGGTTTCAGGTTCGATCCTCCATCTAAGCATCCACAATTTAAGGTGGTCCTATGTTTGTGTGTTGTTACATTAGTGTCCCCGAGGATTAAAATTAGGTGCGCATAAGCGTTCGGACACAATTGGTTACAAAAAAAAAAAAAGTTATCATAATATTTCAAAAGTATGCAATACAAATATAATTAAATATTTGCATGATTAATTTTCACATTATTAACCACCTTTAGATGGTCAGATGAGCGATAAGAGACTCTTGAGTATATTACTCAAGGGGTTTTAAGTTCGATTTTTCTCATTTGTTATAAGAGGCCACTAGAGGGTTTACCCAAATCTTTAATTTTTAAGCTCCGAATATTAGTTAAATTACTAAACATGATATTAAAAAAAGAAAAAAAATCCCATCGTTAATTCAGTTTCAACGTCAAAGATTTAGGTTTTGTTCAACTGCCAACTTGTCTAATAATAATCCCCAAATGCCAACTCCCAATTGCCGAATAATTTCACATGTTTTGTTCTTTCTTATTATAATTATAAATATCATATATTAATTAATTTTCAAAATTAATTTATAATATCTATAAACTTTTTAATTTTTAAATCTTGCAAGATAAATCATCAACTAATTATTCAAGTCAATCCGTGCTGTAACACCTGTAACACGTGGACTTAATAAATTAACGTAAAACACAGACAAAAAAAATATCCCACTAATATAATTGTTCGTGTAGTGAATGCTAGAAGGGCCTTAAATCTCAGAGAGAGACTCCCAGACCCAGAGATATGTGTGCAGTGGTCGGCGTCATATTTCGGTGGCCGGACTTCGAATTTTCTTTTTCGCCGTCGTTTTTCCGGGTGGCCTGAGTTCGATTTTTCTTATTTCACAAGTGGGTGAATTTGCATCAGAGTTTCAATGGTTCGATTTCTCCATTGATGACTTGTTGTGGACGTTTGTTACTGTGTTCGAGTCTTTTCTTTTAGTCTCCATGCTCTGTTATTTCTTCTTGTTCTGTGGTTGACCTTTGAAAAAAAAAAAAAAAAAACAAATGTAGTTCTTTTTTTTATTTTAGTTTTTCCCCCCTTAAAGAGTTCATGTGTATATTATATATTCAGTGTAATTTGCAGGCATCTAACAGCTTGATTGGTGATTTTATTCAATTATATGAGTGGTTTGATTTTTTTATCGAATTTTTCTCTGGGTTTTAATTTTGTTTCTTCGTGGGGATGAGCTGGTTTCTGGTTCATAAGATGAAGAATTACGGCGAATTGCATTGTGTTGAATTATTAATGGTGAAATGGGATTGAATTTGAAGTTACATTTTGAGTGGTTGAGACATTACCACAGCCTACAGTTGGGGCAAGTGTTTGAAAAAGCTTTAACAAGTTGGGGGATCTTTTTTCCAGGTCAGTACAGCCAATTTCATGAACATTTAAAATCTTTTATGAATCACAAGAAGAGTGCATTATTTTAGGCCTCTTCACTCTGCATTTCACATTCATAAATCATCTTTTGTTTGGCATTTAGTTACCCTGGATGCCTATCTTTATGTTCCATCTTATCTTCAAATGCTTTAAATTCACTTTCATGTTATGGGTTCAGCTACTTGTGTGTGATGCTTCAATTTGAAACTCGGATTCTTCTTTAAATTTGTTGAATGATTGGGGAGTTTATAGAAGAGTAAAAGATTTTGTTTAACTTCAACCCCAAAGACAAGGAATTCCACAGAGACAAAAATTCTAGTAATTGATTTGTGTAGAAATTCGCCCCCTTCTGTTGAAATGAAAGTTCGTGGCCCTTAGTCACATCATATTTAAAGGTTACAAAAGAAGGGAAAATAACCGTTCTTTTTGGTAGTGGTGTTTAAAAAACCGATTGGAACATAAACGGCGGGATTCGAGGTTTGGGTTCGGTTTCATCGGGATTGATCATCACGGTGTGTATTAATTTTAAATTTTTGGAATTGTTATTATAGAGTTTTGGTTTCTATAAGAAAACCGAAATTAAAATCGGACTAATATAAATAAAATTAAGAGAACGGTGTTAATAAACTTTTGTAAAAGTAAAGTGTGATTTATATTTATATTTATTTATATATTTAGGGGGTTTGGTTTAGGGAATGTGAGTTCTGAAAATTTAGATAACCTTGAAGATTACTGGAAATCTTTTAGAAAATGTTTGGTTAATTGGTGAGTATGTTTATTAATATGTTTAGTTGACAGGATAATTGGTGGGTATGTTATTTAAATTACTAAATTGTTATTTAATTAAATATTGATTATATAACCCCTTGCATTTAAAACTTAGCAAAACAACCCCATAAAAGTTTGGAAAATCAAAGCGCCCCACTAACTCAGTCACTGTCGATCGTCGGCAGCCACCACAGGCCGTCGCAATCGACAAGCAACGACGCACGAAGGCAGAAATGGCCTCCGTGCCCTTATGGCCCTTGCTAGCTAGACGACCATTGATCTAGTCGTTTACGCATATCTGATCAGAATTGCCATATCGGCCACAAACGACCATTTTCGGTCTTTCGCCGGCGGTAGGTGGTGGGGTGGTGAGCTGCATTTGTTTTGAATTCAAGGGTAATTTTGTCCAAAAAGTTTTTAATTTGGGTGAATAGTAAAAGCTATATTCATGTAAAAATTTAAAATAGGGTATTATGGTCCTAAAAATTTATTAATAAGTGATAGATTGTAACAAAAAAGATTACCCTGGTAATCTTAGAATACCTAGAAAATTGAAGTAATCAGATTACCTCAAATATTACCACAGTAGTTACTTTTGAAGATTACTGGAATCTTGTTTACTTGACACCAAACGTGGTAATTAATAATATAGAGACACATACTCTAATAATCTCACATTACCCCCCAACCACACCCCTTAAAGTAAGTTTGTTTGACTTTGAGAATCTACCTTTATATCAACATTTGTATTTTTTTTTTTTAAATAGTGCAGGTAGAGGTGTTTGTAGTTTTTAAGAGTTTTTTTTTTTTTCATTTTAAAAACTTTTGGGGTAATTGTAATTTTATGGATACCCAAATCGGATGAATCGTTGTTAGGATATGTAATTTCCAATTTCAAGAAATGTGATTCCAGTTTCGATTCCTTTAGAAATGAAGGTATCGGAATGAATACCCACTTTTTGGCGGCCTTCTATTTGTCCAAAGGTATCAAAACTAGTTTGCTTAAGCAATTTTGTCTTGGTTCATATAATGTTGTTAGAGCTAATTTTATTAATTGTTAGATGTCATACGTTGTTAGGATATACACAATAATATGCAAATAGTAAATAAGATATGATTACTGATTCGTTTCAAATAAAGAATTACTTTACATTCAAATAAAGAAATGAGTATTTTTATTGAGTATTTTACTCTTGCTCTCTTTATCTTTTTCTTTAGTTTTTTTACTATTACAAATATTATATAATAAAACCTAACCCCATGGTAGGCTTACATGATATAACCGAT